TTGTCTGACTGCATTGTGCCAAGTGTAAAGTTTGGTGGAGGGGGGATTATGGTGTGGGGTTGTTTTTCAGGAGCTGGGCTTGGCCCCTTAGTTCCAGTGAAAGGAACTCTGAATGCTTCAGCATACCAAGACATTTTGGACAATTCCATGCTCCCAACTTTGTGGGAACAGTTTGGAGCTGGCCCCTTCCTCTTCCAACATGACTGTGCACCAGTGCACAAAGCAAGGTCCATAAAGACATGGATGACAGAGTCTGGTGTGGATGAACTTGACTGGCCTGCACAGAGTCCTGACCTCAACCCGATAGAACACCTTTGGGATGAATTAGAGCGGAGACTGAGAGCCAGGCCTTCTCGTCCAACATCAGTGTGCGACCTCACAAATGCGCTTCTGGAAGAATGGTCAAAAATTCCCATAAACACACTCCTAAACCTTGTGGACAGCCTTCCCAGAAGAGTTGAAGCTGTTCTAGCTGCAAAGGGTGGACCGACGTCATATTGAACCCTATGGATTAGGAACGGGATGTCACTTAAGCTCATATGTGAGTCAAGGCAGGTGAGCAAATACTTTTGGCAATATAGTGTATATATATGTCATATTTGATATCTTAGAATATGCGTTCAGATAAAAATTTGTTTTTCAGATTAAAAGCATATTTTTTGAAACAGAAAACCTTATAGCTGTGTATTAAACTCATGTTTCTGAATATTTTTTTTTCATTGTTCTAATTTAACAACCTGATCTTGAATGTCATGTTTTCATTACCAATAAGAGATAAGACTTCAAGCTTAACAAAAAAATAAATAAAGGCTTGATAGACGCAGTCTGTATCTAAATATGACTGTATATAAATTATATTTGCTATACATGCATCAATAAAGACATTTCATCTAGTTTGTGGAATTATTAATTTTCTACATGTATGGCAACATGTATCTCAAACATCTGAATTCCTGAAGCGCTACTGAAAACACCATTCAATCTCGTCCGCCTGTGCTTTTTCAAAAAAAAAAAAAAAAACATTACATCAGAATCCTGCTAGCTTCTCAGAAGCCATCTGATTGGCCAAAGCTCGGTGGGCTTAGCTGCACCCTTCCTGCCAGCTGTATCTGCTCGCCAGAATGTTAGACAATTGCAGGAAGAGTTGACGTCTTTGGGTGGACCTTAACACCGGTACATTGTGTGGTCTTATGGTGGGTTCTCATGCGTCAAAGCTCTGACCTTTTCTCCCTCACAAGGACAAACCTCCTTATCTGTTCAGTATTTAGTAAAAATACAACACCTGCATTAAGCCTCTGCCAATCTGAATACCAACAAATGTCAGCACTGTACTGTAGATAGAGGCAGCACCCTGTTCTGTTTCCTCTACTAAATTCACACAACTTGTTGAATGGCTTGTGTAAATTTGAAATTCTATTCAATTCAGTTTATTTATATAGCGCCAAATTCACAACACATGTCATCTCAAGGCACTTTACAGTTCAACCAGATCATACAGTCAAATGAAACTAAATATCACTATGTGAGTTGACCCTGTGGTTAATAGCTGTCTTGATTTAGAAATCAAAGCATTACAAGGGATTATCCTGCTTTGCCAAACAATGTGTGGCTCATATGAATATCTGAGGTCAGACATGAAGGAGCTTAGAAATCAGTTTATTCTGATATATATTTACACTGTTGATGTATGTCTGTCTGTCTGTATGTCTGTACCAAATCAAACCCATCTACAGTTTATAAGCAAATGTTTAATTCCAAGGCAAATAAATTATTTGGGCCTTTGGGGACAAAATGACAACGTTAAAAATCAAATACTAACATAGAGCATTTGTTTTAAACAGCTATATATTTCATACAAATATTAATAACATCAAAAAATTGAACAAAAGGATATAATGTCTCATTTCAAATACTTATAAAAAAATAATAAAAAACTACAGTGAAACTACAGGACACACCTACACCTAAGTTGAGATTCAGCATGCACTTGTGGCGTTGCATTGGTGTGTTTCTCTTCTAAATCCTTCACCCAGTCAAGCTAAAGACAGGAGTGCTCAGAAGCTCAACTGGTTGAGTAGCTGCTCTTTGTTCAGAGGGAAAAACATATGTTTTATAATATGTCTTTGGTTAGAAGGTTCTTTTTCACTTCTAACTGCAAATACAGACATTTATAACCAGAAACAAAACATGTAACACAACGTAATATAAGTATTTTTTAGAGAAAATTTCCCTCTGTTTACCTAATTGCCTATACCATTACATGACAGGAATTTTGACTTTTATTCTGCCAGTACTGACACCTTTCAGACCATGTTATGTTATGTTTCTCATTCTTAGACATAGTCTTAGAGACTTAGACAGACTTTATTGTCATTTTGTACACACAGTGTATACAAAAAGAAATTTTGTTCAGTACACCTCTCAAGTCATTTTCATTCTATACATGCCGGACATGAAGGAAGACAATAAACATTAAGGGACATGACTTTCTGCGAAAGCATGAGCTTATGTTTATTAGAAGGCATTGGAGTAATAATGTTGACTCTACGTCTTTTTAACCTGGGTTTTATTCCAGCTATGGGCTCAGGGGTTCTAATTGTTTGTGTTTCTTTCTCCTAGTGCACACAGAGCGTTAGCCCAGAGAAGCTGTGGTCAGATCAATTATTCATTCTGAAAGGGGGACAGGGGACATCCACACTATGGCTCTGTTGTCATGATTTGTGATTCAGAACATATGCAGGGAGGCAGTGCTCATCACCTGATGGTTCCGATTGGAAATGTGGAGCCATCATTAACGTCTTTCACTGGAGCCAGGAAGCTAACCGTCATCATGGCTCAGATCTTGTCAACAGTAATATGGGGACTCCACCCTTTTATGGTTGTCAATTAATGAGAAGCTTTTTCCTTGGGCTTGGTATATTGAATTCAGCTGAAACAACTTTATGAGATGCTCCTATGTTCAAAAGTTAATATTCCATCTTATGCATTTGGGAACATCCTCTATTTTATTTCTTTTTTTTCCTTTTTTTTTTTTTTTTTTTTTTTTTTTTTAAAGCAGATGGACTTTTCACCTCCATGTCTTCTGCTTGACTGTTAATGTGCCAGGAAGTCATGCTTACCTGAAGGTGCCTGTATTTTTCTCCACAAAACACAATTAGAAGCTGCAAACTGCAGCCACTTCCAGCTTGTCAGCACTGGCTAATTGAATGAAGAGAGGTTATTTATTGACTGATGGTTGAATACTGAGGAGGGGGTTATAACCATGGAGCTTCTGCACGAGTGTGCATACAGTGATATCTTCATTAGGACCAGTACATCTGATCTGGGTCCTGCACTGTCAAGATCTTATCAGTAATCATTATAGTGTAACCACATCACTCCTATCTCAGAGGGGAGGCTCATAAAGATAAAAAAGGTTTTGAATACAGCAAGGCTGCATTTTGCATGAACATAATTAACTATTAACTAAAAGATTTCAAAAATGTCCTGTTAAAAGCGGAACAAATGTTGGAAAAAATATTTGAAGCCGTTAATAAAACAAGAGCAAGTTGCCTTTGTATTCAAACATTAAATATAGATCTTAGTAAAGATTTGTGTTTGTAAATGGCACTGAAGTGGAGACATCTAACGGGATGGTTAAAAATGTATTCATCATTGGACATGGGATAATGTTTTCATTTAATTTCCAACAAGTCACAGAAATGTTGTTCTGTTAAAACCTAGATATTTTAGGTTTTAGAGTGGTTGGAAAGACATGAGTGTTTTCATGCAAAATAGCATAAAATGTTTAACTGAATCTTGATAATCATTTTTTTGTCAGTACTAGAAGTTTACAACAAGATGCATTTTAATCTAAACAGTGGTTTTATTGCACAACACATTCCCATAGCAACAATATATTACCATCACGTACGAGCATACTGACTGTGCGCTATGAATGGTGTGTAATCCAGTGTTCAATTTCCCAGGTGTTCATTCCTGCGACATTTTCCAGTTTTAATCCAAATAAGGACTTTCTTTGCAAATGTTCATGAAGCGTTGCTTTTGGGGAGATTTTGTTGGATAATTGTCCCATCAGTTTAGTTGGATGGTCATGTCTTGGAGGGTTTCTACTGCTAAACTCTTTGTCTTCCTGCTGATGCTTTAGCATAAAGCCTGAATAACATACTGTACATTAAAGCCTGATAAAATGAACACTTTGTAACAATAAAAGTGCATAAGGGTTTATTTAGTAGTGAATGCTTTTTTCAGCAATAAGCGCAATTCACAACTTGAATGCTTTGATGGCGGAAGTCATTTGCTTGACTTAATAAGCCAGTTTGAACATAAATGGTTTAAACTCCTGTTTTGCCCCAGAGGTGATGGGACCTGGAACGCAGTGCGGTTTGTTGATAATTAAGGACCAGGAGAAATGTAATTTACCGGGATAAATCTGTCACCAAGGGGAGAGACCATGTGAATCAAAGCCTACAGCAAAAGTCCAGACCATTGTTAGCAAGCACAGTGAACCAAGAGACAGCTTCAAAAAGACAACCCCCCCCCCCCCCCCCCAGACATCCCCTATAATTTCATTGGCTCTGTGCATAAATCAGTAATTTCAATATGTGACTCACTTATGCTAATTCCTGAATGGGCTTTATGCAATAAGGACCACATAATGATATATGGACATTTTTTATCTCTTTCAGCACTGCCTTTGACAGTGTATTATGATGGAAATCAGTGGTGATTTATGTGAGAGGGAGAAAAGGGAATCTCCTTCATGATTCAGCCTTCCCCCCTCCCTTTTTTTTCTGTCTTCCTCCAGCCCCAGAGTGACGAGGCAGTCCGCTTGTGTGTGAGGGAGCGAGGCCACGATGTGCTCGTTTTCCAGAGAGTGTTGTCAGAGCAGCCAGCACATGCTGCATGGTCGAGGGGAGGAGGGAGAGAAGAGGCGAGGACCCAGAGGTAAGCCTCCCCTCCCTTCTTTCTCAGTCTCTCTTTCCCCCTCTCTCTCTTTCGAGTGCTTCTCTCATCAGTCTCCTCCTCTGGCTCTGTCGATCACACACTCACTCAGGCGAGCTCACATCTCAGCTCTCCACTCATAAATGACAAGATTACATTCATATAAATGAGCTGCATTGGGCTGTGAGACAGCCTTCCCATTCATTCTGAAGAGGGTCCCTCGTCGTTAAAACACCCAGCTGGATGGATCAAGGTGTCATGCAGCAGTAGCTGCAGCCAGCGTGAGGGTAACTCTTCGAGGATGGGATCTCCTCCTCAGCCCCTGAACCGGCTGGAGGAAGGCGGGATGCTGCTGCTGCAGCATGCAGCCTTGGTGGAGCAGGAGGAGGATGAGGAGGACGAAGAGGGCTCAGAGGAGAGCAGCAGCATCAGCACCAGCCGGGCAGAGCCGCAGACGATGCCCACCTTTGACGTCCCCTACTTTCGTTACATAGATGATGAGGGAACAGAGGGAGAGGAGGAATGGAGCAGCAGTAGATCTCTGTCCTCCATCGGCAGGGACTCCTCAGCTGACTCTGTTGTGTCTGACAGGTACGTGGTGGTGTCAGGAACCCCCGAGAAGATCCTGGATCACCTGCTGAATGTAATGACATTGGAGGATGACCAGAGCTCCACCCAGCAGAAAGAGTCAGGTCAGCATTCTTACTTTGCTCCTCTTCTTTAAACTTATTTGGTAATGAGTAAATATTTCCATAAGTGCAAATTCTTGAGGTAAAGTTTACTTTATGTAAAAAAAGTAGACTATCTGCCTTCTCCAACACTAACCTGATCTAAATTTCGTCTTTGGGAAACATCATCAAGTTGGACAGAGCTACTCACTATAGTGAAAGAAATATTAGACTGGTTCTCAATTATAGTGCAGCAATTATAAAAAGTGTTCCCTTTGTTTTGCCATATCATTTCAAATCAATGTTTAATCAATATTAATTCTAAATTCTTATAAATAACCTATTATGCATCTGGTAACATTGCAAAACACATAAGACGTCTTAATGTTTAATGTTTTTATTTCGGTGTTTTATGTCAATATATCTCTTACATTTTTCATTTATAATCTGTTCAGTAGCATTAAAAGGAATGTGAGCACTGTGCATGGATTTTAGATAAATTTGGCAACAATAAAGCAAGAAGGTTGTGCACAGTGTGAACAGCATATAGCCTTGTTGTTTTCTGTTGAGAAAACTTTTTAAGCCTAAATGAAAGGAGAACTTCCAAATCACCTGTTAATCTCATGAAAAAATAATCTAGAATGGGCCCAGTCATGCCATTTAACACCATCATGGAAAATCCTGCAACACAGGAAAGATGTAAGAAAAATTCAACCCCTTGATAGTACGTAGGAAAAACATTTATATCTCTGAAAATAGCTTCTTTCTTCATTGTCACTCTGTCCTGGGTGTGGTATTGGTGGGTGTGGTGATCTGTGTCAAACCCTTAATTAAACATAAAAGAATTGACTCTAATACCCAAAAGCAGCTAAAATGCTCCAGAGACATTTCCAATTTATTTCTAATTTTATGTTTTGTTGCATTTTGAAACCAGGATTTCCTTACCTGCTTTCATCCTCAGTAAACCTTTTTTCAATTCAAAAAACAAAAGAAAAAAAAAAAAAAAACAGCACAGCATTATGTGTCTTTGAACCACTGAATATACAACACTGTCTGATGACTACAGTGCAGCGGACCCCGCCACATGCTCTCCAGCCCCGCAGCAACGACAAATCAACACATTTCCTCTCATCCCAGCAGGTACATGATAATGTGACACTGTTGCCAAGGCAGACGAGACCCTATGTTGCTGAAGCCAGAGATGTTTTGCTCAAAGAGTGACGATGAATGAGAACTGCACAACAGTCAGACAAGGGGAGACAGAATATAAAAATGGATGGAAAAGAGAGAAAATCAAGATTCTTTGTTCCTTAGAATGCGGAATCGTCATCATTTAAGGCTGAAATCATTAGTAGAAGAGGGATCAAATGAAATAGATACAGGGATAAAAAGCTTAAATTTACAATCAGTCGATCTTTTTTGTGACCTCGCCAAGGTTACCGCTGCAGAACTAGTTTTACATCAAATTAAATATCAACTAGGAGTCCTGAACAGTAACTAATTATCCTTAGATATGTTTAGTTGTTTGACTTCTGCTGTGTTTGTGTGTTTCTGACTGCAAAAGTTGTTTTTGCTTTGATGCTACTTATGAGCTGTTCCTTGGAGGTACCGCTTTGGAGAAGCATCGTTGTTTTGATGTCATCAAACTCGGATGCTTTTTTCTTTGAAAAGCTACCAAGTTGCTGTGTTTGGTGGGGCTCTTCTAGATGGAGCGAAATGACTTGTTATTTTTTGCAGGAGAAACTCAGTGGGTTTAGAGGTGAACTTATAGTAACGTGTAATTTGTTTAGGAATTTAATTGGAAAAAGTAAAACAAAAGTATCGCACACATCCATAAATACCAAGTTGTATTTTTCTACTGGCTATTTTGAAGATTGCAAGACACAAAAAAGCTCTAAAATGTATTTTTGGAAAAGGGAATAGTAAATAGATTTTGGTACTAAATTTAATCATTAAAATGTAAATACAAGCTCACAGAAAATATGCTTATGTATCACACAGTATAATAACTCCTTTTGCATAAAGTACTGCATCAATGCAGCTTGGCAAGGATATTACCACAGGTGGGTTCTGTTTAGGTGTTTATTTAATAGCGGAACTAATGCACGTGGCTCTGTTGTTTCTCATTTTCCCCCAAAGAATAATCCATTGAGTCTTATTGAATCTTGTTCAAAGCAGGTTAAAGGAACTGCATGAGTAAAAGGTTAAAAACAGTTATTGGAACTTTGGTAAAGTTGACAAGTGCCAAGTCCTGCTGTAAACAGAAAATCCACATCTATCTTCATCTAAATAAAGCATGAACATTTCCTGGTAATGAAATGCATTCAATTTGTATTTGATAAACATAATGGACTATAAAGTGGAAGTGTACCTCACATCTGATCTTAACCTAATTGGATCCTGTACCTTCCTGCAGTACATGTTATACAGGTATTTGTTTATGGTGGTTCTTCACGCACTGACTCCAGCCTCAATTCATGCTTTGTGAGATGTCTCCAGACTCTTAAATTAGATTTGCTTCACAATCCTCTCAAAGCCAAGGTTATTCCTTTTGTTTTTACTTCTTGTTGTTCTGCACTTTCTTTTTCCACTAAACTTTCCATTTTCAAATATCTATGCTTGGATAGAGCACAGCCAGGTCCTTAAGGGTTGTGAATTGACCTTCTTGTCCAACTGACTGTCCACAGTCTGTGTAGGCCATGGCATGAACATTTTCTATGAAACATTTTTTTTCTTATTTGTTGTACATATCATCTAAGTGTTATATAAAACTGAATTAGCCATAATTTAACAAGAGAAAAAGTCAAAATACATCGCGCTAAATCTATATGTTTATGTTTTGTATTTTAGATGCAGTTCCTTGTTTATGTAATTTTTTAGTTGCCTCATTAGTGAAGGCTAAGAGAGTTCCCTTTACAGTATGTGATCTGGAATAACCACAAGCATGTTTTAGGGGGAAGCACAGCTTAGTGGAGAACTGACGTTTCGTTCCCTTCCTTTACATTTACAAATACCTTGCAGGAGGGCTGCAGCCTTTTCTGAGCTCAATCTGCAGATATTGATTTCTCCCCTGCGAAGAGCAGGCCTCTCTCAGAAGCATGTTCTAGATCATTTGTTGCTCTAATGACAGGATGCTCATGGTCCTTTGTGACAGGATGACAATTAGGGATGATAATCTATGTTTCTAAAGGAAACAAAACCACATTTGGTGAATGCATGTATAATCCAGAAGGTTCTTATTTGTTGCTACTTAGAAAAACTTGACAAAAAGCTGGACTTATTTTATAGACTGTATTGATGAGTAAAAACAGCTAAGCAGACTGATGGACAGGCCAAGTGATTTAACAATACACCTGGGAGAAAGACAGCTGAATCAGTTTAGCAATTACTTTAAAGAGAATGCTAAATCTAAATCAGTCATTCATCATATAAATGGAGTTACAACTTAACAGATTGTTGATCTTTATCTATACAGTAGATTTTATGCATGGATCTCTGTCATTAACATAAGTGTGTGTTTACTATTTTAATGCAGAGCCAATTAATAACTGGAGAACACAATATTAGCTGATAAAATTAGAATAGTAGTCAGCTGTTTAAACTCAGAAACATTGCAGAAACTGCAGATTTTGGTAGTTTCAGTGCAGAGAGACTGTTTCAGTTTAGATAGCTTAGAGGAGAAACACCGGCAGAGTGAGCAACACCCCCCACACAAAAACAGTAGATATTTATGTGTAAAAGTGGTGCAGTATGTGAATAGGTTTTTCAGGTCCCTGCTGTTGTTTTCAGGCTTTCTGGTAAAGCTGTGTCACCGTATTGTTTATGGCTGCTTCCAGCATGCGACGTGTGTGAGGGAGTAACCCTCTCATAAGCAGGGAGTTATGTATGCACAGCTGCTCTGAACGGATTAACATAATGATGTCTGTGAGTCTGCTGGACCGAAACGCTCACAAAAGACTTGGGAAGCTGGTGTGAAATTAAAGGAAGAAATTTACAATTCTTTGTGTAACGCCTGTTCACAGGAGGCTGGTCCTAAAATATGAAACTAAATTATTCCTTATTTATAATTTTTTTTTCAATTTGTGATTTGAAGATAAGGGAAATTGTCCATGAATAATAGCACATCATTTGTTTTTTCTGCAGGAAAAGAAATAGGTTGTATATGTTGATACCATGATATAAATATTTTTTTAAAGAACAATACTTTCAACCTGATGGGGAAAAGAACAAACTTTGGGTCTGTGATTGCAGCCTTCATATTGCAAATAGTCAAATTCAGTTCATAATTTATGTACAGTTTAGTACAGAAAATAATTATGGATCCAACAAACTCCTGCAGACAGCATTTTGGTAACTGATTTTTGGTCAATACTGAGGAAGCAAGCTGTGCCAGTGGAGAAGAAAGACTTTCCTTTTAACAAGTCAAACCTTGAGCAGATCCAGGACTTCTTCTGTTTCAAATAAATAAACTAAAATAAGCTAAATCAAGGCAGCAAATAGTTACTCCAGCAGCTGACACATGGAAAATATTAGCTAAAATAAAAAGCCCTGAACTTTATTAGAAATGATAACTGTCTGAATTAAAAGTAAAGCTGTTTCAACGCCCAAAACAAATATTCAGTTAATATTCTCTAATTTTAAAAATAACTGTAAATAAAATAAATGCTGTATAAGGAAACCTGAAACAATCAGCAATTAATCCTCAACAAACAACATGTAATAGCAATGTTATAGCTGACTATCTTCCTTTCTGTTATAATCAGTTTATATAATCTCTTTTTTTTGTAGTTTTGTCTTTTGCCATCAAAAACATAAGCGACTTCATCTTTCTACTTCTCAAACCACTTAGATACCTTCTTTCTATAAATCACAGATTTATTTTTTCTTCAAGGTGTAAACTGAGGTGTTTATCTATCTCAGTGCTTCTGTTTCACATTGCTGGTTTTAGTTAAAAAATTAACAAGATTTATTAGAAACTTAGACAACTTCTATTGTCATTTTGCATACACAGAGTGTAAACAAAATGATATTTAGCTCTTTTTTTTACAGCTTTTATGACATTTCTGTTTCTTAAAGTGCAGCAGTGATAAAATGTTAGTGTGGGAGAAAAAACATGGTGCAAAAAAACACATTGATATGAAAGTTCAGAGCATTAAATATATATTTGGTGCAATTATGCAGGGTTTTAGTTTAGTGTTGTCAGTTTGTAGGATGCAGAGTCTGTAACATGATTTAGGGTTTTTACAACAGTTCAGCCGTCTGGTGGTGGTGGGGAAGAGGCTGTTTCGATGTTTCCAATTATGCTCAGTTTGTAATATAACACTATGGTAGGGTAAAATTATCAGTTCACACACATACTATTAAAGTGAAGGAGGACTGGTTGGGTAAGTCATGTCACAGATATATTACATATTATGTGTTGTGATATTTCAGTATTTCATTGCAATTTTGTTTTGTTGGGAAAAATTTGAAAGCAGAAATGGTGCCAGTAATAAAAATAACTTAAATAGAGCATTTTATTTTTGACCAGGCCTGATTTATCTCACTTATAGAATAACTTAAAATAAAAATGAGAAATAAACACATGTATGAAGAGAAAATAAGACTATAAACCAAATTAGGATGATTGGTCATCTATGTTAGATTTTTTTCTTTGTGAGTAGAAAAAAAAAAAAAAAGTTAGACAAAAAAAATCATCTGATGCACCATCATATTATCAGTTTATCCCCACTGATGCAGATGGAATGTACCAGTATGTGAAAATAAAGGTAATACTCTTCAAAGGCTTTTCAAGGGGAAAATGTCTCCAAAGATTTCAGTTATTTTCTTTCTGTCAGACCAAACAGTTTCATGCCAAAGAGAAGTTTCTCATGTTTTCCTCTGCCTAGCAATCTCTAAATGTTTTTGGCAGCAATGAACAAGCTCTCCTTGTGGTATTAAAGTAGCACATGAAAAAAGTGAGGCCATATGAATCATGAGTGCAGCCTAGCAGTATAAGCAGTTCACAAGATATTAATCATGCAGCTGTCGGGGTCGGTAGTGTTCCTGCCCTTCAGCGTACCGGTGCATTAATGAGGATGCTTTCCTGCAGCATTTTAAGCCTGTTTTTCCTGCATTACCTATTTCAAAGCAAAACTCAAACATTTATCGCATGTGTGTCGTGCCTGCATTATTTTCCATTAATCAATATGTATTTTTCTTTGCAGATATGCTTCGGGATGATTTTTTGCTCACATACCCAGTGTACATGTCAACTGGTGATTTATGCCAAGCTCTTCTGGGGCAATATCCTTTCATAGCGGTGGTTCTGCATAAACATTACAAATATGAATTTCTAACTGAACACTCTGAAAGCTAACAAAGTTTTCTATTTTGCTTTTTTTTAAGTAGCCATGAGTATTTTTGTTTCCAGTCATCCAACCTGATCCTTAACTAAAATGCACCTATTGTTCCAAGCGTCACAGAGTTAAACAGGACCAAAAAGAAGCTTTGGAGAGGAAACAGAAAGTCCTGCACCTGGTGTGGCATTGGATGTCTCTCTGCAGAGGCTTCCTGAGGGAGGATGAGAATGTCAAAGTCTTCCTGAAGGTAGGAAATAAGACATCTGTGCAAATGGGTGGAACATGAGCGGAGATATGCAGAATGATAACAGACGGATTTGTTTCCAGAGTTTGTACCGTTACGTGTTAGATGACCTTTATGAGCACCCTGCTCTGGAGAAGGATGTAACAGAGTTGCAAAAACTCTACCAGCTGAGACGCAGACAGTGAGTAGCTATACTGAATTTCTTCTGTTTGGTATGTACAATATGCAGTTAGAGTGATGCACATTGGTGGTCTGAGAGAAGCCTTTGAACACAAAGACTGATTTATTCTCATCATGCCTCCATTTTTAGCCTTTAATCAATGACTACATTCAGAAATTGTACAGTGATCTCTGTGCTCTGGGGTTTTATTCTTGGAGATTTAAAGGTCATTTTGCTCTTTATCTGGGACACAAGAAACAGAACAGAGGGAATTGAGAATACTTAAGCAATAATGCCAGCTGCTAGAAATGTTTATCACATCACTTAGAGGAAAAATACATTTCAATTAACAGGCAACAGAAAACCTGCATATATGTTCTCTCCGCTGTGAGGCCAACACAGCGGAGTGTTGACTTGTTCCACACTGGTGTCCTTTATCAGAAAATCACTCACAATTCTGCCATTAAAAAAAGAAACAGACACATGAAAGCTTTGTGATGAAGTCACATTACGCTAGCAATGCTTTGCACGATTAAAGTGTGCAAAGCATTGCTGGAGTTAACTTGTTAAAAATGTCTTGGAATAAGCAGAAAGGTTACAGAGAAACTTGTAGAAAAAGTTAAAATATATGATTTTAAAACAATAACTAAAGCCTGAAAAATTATAACCACATAATGTAATTCTCACTCTATAACATAATGACGTAAAAATTTCTAATAGCTTATTCTGGGTTATGATTCTAACATGATGAAAGGGGTGAAAATTTGGCAATGCACTTTCCTTACAATATTATCTTTATTAAGAAGAAAGAAAGTAGTGATTTCAAGTGTCCAGTTACATTAGAAAGACGTCCTTTAGCTCAGTGTGAAAAGAAATGAAACATGGATGGTTGATGATAACAAAGATGTACAGTAGAAGTCCAGCAGAAAGCTCCGTGGTTCAAATGAAGGATTCAGAAACTGTGCAGTTGAACAGGGAAGGTCAGCCTGAAACTTTTAAGGCAGCTGGAGGACAGACTAACGGCACCAGATGCTGCTCTTAGCGGGGGTCTAACAGAGGGGCTACAAGGTCTGAGTCTAGTTAAAATAGGCTACATTTATCCATTTCAATATAGACTGATGACATTTTCTCCAAAGAGTCCACCTCTGTCAACAAATGCTTAAATGTGAAAAGTGAATAATTATATGGTCATTATCTATGTGTAAGATATGCATTTGAAAAACATCAGGAATTAAATACTGAAGTGTTATTTTGTTGTAATAATTCAACCTTCACATTAATTAAAAGTGAACAAAAAAATGCAGTTTGGTTTTGGTTCAAAGCATGAGTCGCCAGACTCATGACCAAGCCTGTCTCCATCCTTCCTCTTTTTGTTAGCCACCAAACCAAGTTTTTCACCTAAAAATATCACTTTGCATACAGGTCATAATTCTTCTGCTGGTGCTGGCAGCTGAATTTGTTTTTTTATATCCTGTTAGGGAAACCCACGACTCCCCCATCATCCTGCTGGGCCGTGTGTGGGTGTTGCACGCTGACATGATCTTGTATTTATGGGCTTTTCACAATCAGTCCTGGCTCAGATTGAGGCAAGCTTTGCTGCTCCCACTGCAGCAGCAATCTGCTGCTGAGTGAAGAGGTGTCATTTTTTATAGACGGCCCCTTCCTCCCAGCCTACCTCCTCATCAGTGTCCATCTGGACTTTTTGTGTAAATTGAGCATCAATTCTTGTGATTCTGATGGTTCAAAGTGAGAATGAAACACAGTTTGTTCTCTGTGTTCTTTACCCTCATGTGGCATGGGCATTCTGTCATCCACAGTGACTCAGCTCTTTTTGTAAGAAGCTCTGTTAAAACGTGACGGATGGAATCAGGATTTTTCATTAGCGCCTGGCCTCTGCCACCATCCCCAGTGGAGGGATTCCTCCATGCAGGTTCTGTGCGAACATGCTTGGGATGCAGAACCCATGAAAGCTGAGGAATGATCACAGGCACAGGGCTATACATCATGATGAATATGAGAAACTGATGAGAATAGGACGATGAACCAAGAGATCACATTGGAATGTCTATAATCTACTCAGCACTTTAATCTCTACTTGACTTTGAGCATAACTAATGGACTGAAAGCTGCAGGAAATTTAGTGGATAAATATATACTCTGTTTAGACTGATTACAGCCTGTGTTGGATTTGGTTGTCATCAGCAGAGCAGTGAGTTTTTGTGTGCCTGTGAAAGCTGGTGCATTTGACTATTCTTTTCTTTTTTTTCTGCAGCACTTTTGACGATACCTCCCCCCACAGAAATGTAAGAATCTTCATTTTGTTTGGTTTGCTCTTTTTAAAACAGAACTGATTTGTTTCCTATCTGGGGTAAAGGCTATCATCCCATGATGTTTTTATTGTAGCTCAGAGTTAAATTCCAAACCTGTGTTCAAATCTATGGAATTCCCCCCCCCTTTTTTTTTTAGAGCAAAGCTCTTTTTCACCAGCTGAGCTTAAAAGAGAATGGGCAGAGATCCAGCAGCACACACAGGGAGAACAAGGAAGGTAAGTCCTACGATGTGACGTTCCTTCCCCATTTGTCCCATCCTACGCCATTTACAGTATGAATGAAAGGAAATGTTAAGTTTGAACCTTGAAACAATAGGGCTCTTTTCAGGGAAATCGATGACATGCTTGGAAAAGCAGATTCTTGATATATTTTAAGTGAGCTGGGCTTCACATGGACCATCTGCAATGTCCCTCGTTGAAGTTTCACTCCTCTGAAGCCAATCATCTTTTAAGATCCCCTTGATTTAGCTACTAGCCCAGCTTCTCTCTCCTGCACGCCAACAAACCTTCTCCCAACCACGCCCCATCTCCTCCATCACTCTCAGACTATTCTCAGTCCCACCTCATTCCACCAGCAGTGGCCTCCCCAGGAAGACTCTAATACTTTTCCTAGGTTACTTACAGTATCCAAGCAAATGTCAATTCCCTGCATCAAAGCGCAACAGAACCTATTTCTTTCATGTCAATAAAACTTTTCTAATTGCAGCTTTTTTCTGTGCTAGACTTGGTGAAAATAGGACCATGAGATAAAAAATGAAATTAAATCTGTTAGATATTGGGGGTCTTTACGGGTCCCCGAAGAAAGCAAGAAATACATTAGAAAGATATCTGTATACTGGGCCCCTGTGTGGAGGAGCCACAAACTACAAGCATATTAGATTTAAATATGTGTCCCATGCATGCTCGTTTATCAGATTAAAGGGAACTGTTAAAACTAACAACCTTACACAGGTATTGAACATAATCTTTTAAAAAATGTATGTATTCTCGTTTTAAAATACGTGTTTTCATTACCCACAATTGGAAATGATAACATACAGAAATAGAGGCTTGAAAAACTGTTATTTGTCAATGAATCTATATAATGTTTCATTTAGTGAGTTACTCAAATAAATGATTTTTTTTAATTCAAATTCAAATTCCTTGAATTTGACTGCATACTGTATCTTCTTTTCCAGCTCTGTGCCGTGTCTATGTCACTATGGACTCATACCTCAGTGCAAAGGTCCACTATGAGGTGGTAGCTCAGGAACTGCTGCAGGCAGTGGCTGAGAGGATAGATGTTCCTTCATCAGAACTGATACTGGTGGCCATCACTTATCCTGGAGGTAAACATCACTCTGACCGATGGGTTACAGTAGAGAGCAAACGCTACAGGTGCAAGATGCTACACATTTCCTCTAAAGAGCAACTTCTGTCAGCAGAATATAGTACCTTTGTTATTTTTATTTTTACATAATACAGATTCATAAGCACTATGATTTGAAATCCAGCATCACCAATGTTCAGACCATTTTTAAGGAGGAGGTTTTTATAGATAGTATTTCCTGTTTCTTTCTGTATTAGACGTTAAGCTTGCATGTGGCAGACAATCAGCTGTGTTAAATGTATCCCTGGTTCACAGTGTTGCAGAGCAGTATCTATTTTCTATGAATGACGTAACCAGCTGTCTCAGAGCAGAACCTGCTGCAGAGTCTTATCTCTGAGGACTGATAGATGCTAGCAGGCAACCTCACTCATTTCTAATAGCTTTCTGCTGTTTGTGATGTGTTTTTCCCTCTCTGCAGGTAGACTCCTCCTGCAACCTCAGGACAGAGTTTTCACCAATTCTTTACGGCCAGTAGGAAGGCTTCATGTCTGCAGGAAGGACTTTGGTGAAGTTATGGTAGGAATGCCATTTTTTTTTTTTTTTTTTTTTTTTTATAAGGAATAGATTTGGTGAGAGAGAATGTTTGAAGTGAGGAGATTCCTGACAGCAAGAGACTCAAAATAAACAAAAATGCTGAATTCAAATGAAGAGAAGTGCTCAAAAAGATTTTCCATTATTTTTAATTTTGTCCAAAGTCACTGTGATTTATAATTTATTGGGCACCAAGCTTCCAGAGGTTCTGATGTACAGTAGCTTTATTGTACAAACTCATTAAGAAATTAGCTCTTGCCAGATTAGTCAAAGTGCAACATAACACAATAATGAAGGAGCTCCTATTTAGATAATAAGGACGACTGAATGAGACAAAAGAAGAAAAAAAAACATGAATGAACATGAACAAACAACAACATGACAAAACAAACAAGAAAACTAGCAGTTACAACTATCAGTAAATACATAAAAACCTTTCCAATCTTTGTGCTTCATGTGGTACATTAAAGTTTTTTTAGCTTAGCATCAATGTTTTTTTTTTTTATTATCTGTTACTTTGTTCTTTAACATATGATACCCTTTAAATTTGTAAAGATTGACAACAATTAATTTCTTTATTGCCAAAGCATGATAAACTGTCATCAAAATAAACTATTATTACCAAATGTCTCTCTCGGGTCTTATTCTATGCCATTTAATGCTCTCATGTTTAGAAGTAAATCATCTTCAATAATAGCTATTAGACCAGTATCAACATGTTTATAAAGGTTCAAATAATTTTGCATGAATGTTTGTTACTGCCTTTCAGTCAAATTGTTTAAAAAAGAGCAAATAAACTAATTTAAATGAACCTTAAAAACAACAACAAAAAACTGATGGGTGTTTTTCCTCTGCAGAACCCATTTGCAGACAACTCAGACATCCAACAGAGGACAAATGGCCTTCTGAATTTAAACACATGGGATGTGGCAGTTGCACTCACCAACTTTGATTGGACAATTTTCACCAGGATGCATGAGGTTAGCCTCTACAGTACTTATAACCACAGGCACAGATGGTTGCCTCTTAAATGTGTCACCTCCGTTCTTGCAGGAGCTTCAATATTGCTCTGCTAAAATCCTCTCTCTTTGTTTTATAGCAGGAACTGTTGTACTTCACCTTCAACCGCAATGTTTACAGCAGCCATACAATGCAATTAGAGCTGCTCCTGCAGAGATGCAATGAAGTCCAGCTGTGGGTGATGACTGAGGTGCTGCTATGCCCAACACCCTGCAAGAGGGTCCAGCTCATCAAGAAGTTCATTAAGATTGCTGCTCAGTAAGTACTTTTTTTTACAATAGATCTTGGCTGTCAATATTACTGAAGCCTTAAATTTCCCTGAGAATGCAGCGCCCTCTTGTGACATAAAGCTGAATGTATTTTTTTTGTGCTGAAATGTACCTCTTGGTATAACTAAACTTTTTTGTTGTTTTTTGTTTTCAAGCTGCAAAGCACAGAGAAACCTCAACAGCTTCTTTGCCATCATCTTGGGCCTGAATGCTGCTGCTGTAAGCCGCCTCAGTCAGACGTGGGAGGTTGGATTTCCAGTTTTCCTTCTTACAATATATATTTTTTCTCATTATGCTGTTTTTAAAGCAAAAGTTGAACAATCTGAAACTTTATTTTTATCATTTTAGAAAATTCCTGGGAAATTTAAGAAGTTGTTTTCCGAGCTGGAGGCAGTCACAGTAAGTTTACTTATTGAGTATCATCATACTAATTAATCAGTGCTAAAGAGATAATATAGATGTTAATCCATACTCTATCAAGAAAGACAAACATGGCACACATAGCTAAAAACAACAACATGGTGTTTAAGGTTTACTTAGTCATTGTCGTCTAATCCTTCCATAATTATCTTCTAAAGATCAATTACTGATGACTTATGCCCATTTTTATAATTTCTTTACAGGATCCCTCACTCAACCACAAGGTCTACAGGGAATCCTTCAAGAAGATGAAATCTCCAAAGATCCCGTTTCTTCCTCTACTCTTGAAAGGTGTTTTTATTACTCTGGTGGTGCAGAAGCCCAACAACTTATCATACAGTTTGGAAAAAAAGAAGATTCAATAATTACAGGACAATTCTAATTATTTCATAGCTAAATAAAAAATTTTCTTTCTTTTTTTTTTGCTTTAGATATCACATTCATTCATGAAGGCAACAAAACCTTTCATGATAATCTGGTCAATTTTGAGAAGTTGGTAAGCTTTTTGTGTATATGGCCTTTTGACTGGAAACTTACAGCCATGCTGAACAGGAGATGTTTAATCAAATTTTTTATGTGTATCTCCAGCACATGATAGCAGACATGGCCAGATTCATCCGGGACTGTCAGCAAGATCACCTGGGTCAGTATGCAGACTGCTTGTCATGCCTACTATGGTGATGTAGCATAACGTGTTATTACACTGATAAATATATTGAGATAAATATGCTACAAGAAATGTTTTTTGTTTGTTTGTTTTTTCAGCAGCATTTATCTTTTACTTCTCTCCTGAAAAGAGAAGTTAGTAATATGTCCTGAAGGAATCAACTTAGGAATAGAAAAGGAAAACTGCACTATTTTCCATCCATCCATCCATCCATCCATCCATCCATCCATCCATCCATCCATCCATCCATCCATCCATCCATCCATCCATCCATCCATCCATCCATCCATCCATCCATCCATCCATTTCAAATAAAGATAAATTGGACATTTGTATCATAATAAAAGGGAAAGGGTTTCTGTTTTTCAAGTGTTTCTACATAATTTTGTAGATTTGTTGTATCACAGCTTATTAAAAGATCATTCTTCTTCTAGGAAATGGAATAGCCCAGAAGAGCAGCTCAGAGGTTCAAGCCTACACTGATTACCTTCACATAATCGACAATCAGCAGACTCTGTTTGAACTGTCACACAGGCTGGAACCTCGTGCTTAGACAGGAGCTTTTTCTATTCTTCCCACTTTGTGGAATCGCCAAGGAGCAACCCTTTACCAACTCAGCTCATAGTGCTCAGGACTCAGTCAGCAATCCTGCTTAGTCTCCACATGTTTGATGCCAAGACTAAATGGAACAGCTCAATCAGGAGGCTGTCACAGAGACCTGAACAAGCAGTGAAATAAACATGTGAGGATGGCAGCAGAAAATGTTGGAATCCTTTAGCATGTGACTGATCCATTCAGCGATTACTCAACAGAAAAGCTGCAGTGCCAGCGGCTGAACTGCAAGAACAGCAGAAGCCTTGAGCATCAGCCATTTATCAGTACATCTTCATGGGTCTAGAGGTGCTGCTGTTTCTATTATGACCTGTAGATGGCAGAAGTTAGATAGAGTACATTTTCTCTGACAGATGCACACTGCAAAGAATGCTTCCAGTTTATTAATATGTTATCTTTAAATTCTTTGAATTATTTCATGTTGGTTTAAACAGTTTCATAACCTGTCAAAGTCAATCAAAGGCTGGTTCCAGTGAATCAGCCTGGTACATGATAAAGGAGAGTTCTGTATATGTCTAAGGAACATTTATTTAGAATCATCAGCAAAGCTGAAACGCCAGTTCAAGGAAACAAAAGAAAATTCCACAACCTTACTTGTTCCTAGCTTTGACGTACAGCATGGAGGCGTTAGGACCAATTGTCGTCGAAAATCAAGGTACAAATCTGTGTTTATCTGATTAGAACCTGTCAAAACTTGGCTGAGGTTAGAAAGCTGGATTAATCTCTACTTTTGGATTTTTTCAGAGTAAGGTTGTAAGCAAAAAAACACACGCTCAATTCAGATTTAGTGTTTTGAGGAAAAACTGGAATATTGCACACCTTTTACAGAAAAAAATGGTATGCAATGCAAATAATGAAAAAACATTTGACGTATCAGATTCTTCCTAAAGGTTCATGGGTGCTTTCTCTGACTTTGTTATGCAAAACCGTTCTGAGTGAAGATCAGTGTATGTTTTTTAATTCTCTTGCCATAAGCATGAACTTCTGTGAGAGAAGCCATCCCCAGGGTCTGCTCAACCAATCTGAGATGTACTTAAAGCAAATTGAGCGCTACTTAAAAGTTAGGCATTTGATAAAAAAGTGAATTCTGTCATTTTTCTTTTTTTTTCAAAGAGCCCCTCATACAATCACATACATTGCTTTTCTAAATTTTCTCATTACAAGATTAGGCATTCAAGTTTTCATCTGAAATGCAATCATTATTATTAGATTATTTTATGCTCTGCATTTTTAACTGGTAAGATAAGATAATAAAAAAAGGCTTTTACATGTTCAAACAGATGTAGGTATTAAAAACCTTTTGATCATACCATGAACAATCTGTTTTCCTCATTAAGGTATATTAAGGCACCATCTGCATTGAACAGGTATTTATTTTCTTCTGTTCATTGAGGTCTTGTAAGATATCCTGGAAAAATTAGACCTTCAGTTGAAAGGTCAAATCTAATAAGGGACCTGTATGCTGTAAAATAATTAGTTTAATGAAATTAGAGTTGCAAACTGAAATACTGACTTTTTTCATGATGTTTTTACATTTGATGAGTTAGGTTAGCTTTTAAGATCATCACACTCAGTCCATGTTTGTGATCTCTACTCTAGCAGTCGTGAAACATAGTTTCAGTAGTAAAACTTTGAAATTATTAAGTATTTAAATATAATTAATTTGGATTTTTCTTCAGTGCATTATAATCTATTCATACAGCATTTAAATATCAGCAAGTGTTGCTTATTAGAGGAAAATGTTGAATATAGATTATACAGTATTTTTTTAGAAAGTGAAAGGATAATTTACTTCTAAATATGGTGTTAAAAAATCTTTTCTGAAGAACTGGGAGAAGCATCCTGTCTAGTTGTTTTTGACAATCAGTCAAAGGAATTGGCTTTAGCTTTTGGTTTACATTGACAAACATTGGGTCAGGATGGGCTGACCCTTACTCAAAAATGAAAAGCAATAGCAAAAACTCCACAAATCTGCACTTTTTGGATTAAAATGGTTAAAACAATCTCTCTAAGTGCAATGTGTATTATTGCAGTGGTGTACAAATTTAAAATAAAAGGTTGATGTAATAAATTGACTTCTAGATCATTTGTATTGTATATTTTGAATTTGCCAAGCCTATCATCATGAGATAGACCTGTTTTATTAGTATTTAATTATACTTTTTTAACTCAGTATTATACATTTGATATATATATTGTACATGGTAAACCTCTGTATATGGATATTTATTTCATTTTTTTTTTATAGCTTTAATGTGTTTCTGTTCAACCCTTTTTATATGCAGGTCTGTATGACATGTTAAACCATGGACTGACCACCTCTGTCATCTGTGCTTGCAATAAAACCATTTCAATCAGTGATTATGATTATGGTGACTGCCTTCCAATCATCGAATTTGAAAACCACTGACTTGCTCATAAAGATTTTGGCAGATTTTGAGAAATATGATTTTGGATTCATTTACATTGGATTTCCTTAAAAAATAACGATTAAAGCAAAGAAACTTTTTTTTTAACAGCCAAGTTACAAAGCGTCCTCATTCTGTATAAAGAAAACTGAAAATATAAAGTAACTCCCATGGTCATTTGGTTATTTATACTGTATGGTTCACACCATACTACTGTAAGCAGAATTAGAGCATATCTTTATTCCTTTAACAGACAGATTATAACTCACTAGTTAATGTCATCTTTTTTCACCCAAAAATAAATGATGTAAGCCTGATGACAGCTTTTTCTTTTAAAATAATTTATCCATTGCTTTAAATTTATCCAGGTCGCTAAGGTATCGGGCCTAGAAGGGAAACTTTGACATCCCCCCTCCCCAGAGACACCATTCATTCATTCTAAGTGAACCAAAGGCCGTCCCAGGCAAATCTAAATATACAGTATAATACCTTCACTGAGCTCAAGGTTTTTCCCAATGTCATTTCAAGACAATCACCAAATTATCTAAGTATGTGATATTGTTAAATTACTGAGTGGATCATTTAAACTACAGGTGTCATAACAAGCCTTTTTTTGTGGATGATACCATTAGGATCAGATACAACAAATTCCTGTTTGTGTCCGAGAGACAGCAGCTTACTGTATGTCACACAGCTCTTCACTGATGGCCGGATGTGTATCCACAGTGGACCCTTATGTTCATTCAATGATTTTCCACATGTTGGATTACAGAAAGAATTAGAGTCACTTTGCTTCCTGTCCCGCCCTAATTGAATATAACTTTCTTATATGGTTTGTGCTTTCTAAAACATATTTTTTTATTCCCCAGGAACACAAAGAATAGTTAAATGCAGTTTTCCGGACCTATGGGGCAAAAATGGATGAAAGGTCAATGACTCAATGCAGTTAACTGTATGAGGTAAGATCTTACCTCATATAACTTGGCCTTACTTTATAGAAAATTCTCATAGCTGAATGGGATTATAATCTTAATTAAACTGCAATGTATTATAACTATTTCTAAAATTCACTGCATGTCAGTGACTTTGAATCTGTTTAATGGAGCCTAGGAGGAAGTTCACCTGAAGAAACTCATTGTTTTCCTACATCCACCTGCGACACAGCCAATCAGCTTTGAACCACGCCTCCATGAAAGCCAATCGGCATCCAAAGTTCATCTTAAAAGGCCTCCGATCCACTTGTCTGCTCCTGTGCGCAGGCAGTGGTTGCGCTGTGTGACTTTAATCAGATGAAACTGTTTCAACCCAGCTCCAGCCCCTCCTCCACCATCGTAGCTAAAGCTTCATCAGAGTGTCATTCCTCCTGGTCTCTTACTGCGTTCCCTGTCTCATCTCAACCGGTCCAGCAGAAGACCGCCATATTGAGCCTGGTTCTGCTAGAGGTTTCTTCCCAATGGGGAGTTTTTCCTCTCCACTGTCGCTTCATGCTTGCTCATCATGGACAGGTTCTATTAACCTGTGTGATCCAAACTGGACTTCCATTTTCCAGGTCCCTGAGTGAAGCTCTAGTATCAGCTCCACTGGATCTCCCCATAAAGCTCAGCAGACCGTCTCGCTTACCAGCAGTCTACAGACTGACCAACTTCATCTATCTTCACTCCACCAACAGTTTCAGGCCTGGGGGGAAACAGCCCTATTCTTTACTCCTGTTCATGCATATCGATCAAAATTAAACGCTATGTTTCCTGCCGAGGTCTGAGCTCCAAAGACAAAGTAATTTCTCTAATTGTCTTTTCTCTTCTTGTGAGTTTTTCAGATTAAACCTTGTAGCTTTGATTAGATTCTATACTTCTCTGTAGAAATTAGACATTGTTTTGAAATTATTAAATTAGCTGGAAATAGATACAATAAAGTGAATTTAAATCTATGGTCAGCACCAATTGGTTTGGCTTTTTGTGTGCTGTTTTCACTGACCAGAAAAAACATAATCCTGGATGAAAGTAACTCAACACTTACTTAATTAAAGTTTTTTTTTTAAGTATTTAACCTCTGTCTTTCAATGCGCTGGGTGGTGGAGGTATGACGCCGATGCCCTCTTTGATTTTAACCAGGTGTCCTCTTTGGCCTTTAACACGACTTATCCATGGCACGACCCCCCGCCGTGCTGAGGTTTCGCACCCTGCCATTTCCTCTCAAACATAGCCGGCACTGTATCATTTCCCTGTCACCAAATGACTGGCTAGCTGCTGCGGAGTGCTAATGAGAGGAAGAGAAGGCAGATGAGGAGAATCTGCAGGAAGAACAGTTCTTCATTTCCCTCTCCTGGAATACAATGCACAGAATCAATCTTCCATCCTCCATTTGTCTGACTGGAGCCATGGAGGCTGCAGGGAGGAATTAAGAACAACACAACAGTTATTATCTTTGGAGAAAATCTTATTGAAGAAAAGGGCTAGTTTTAACCTCCCCACCTCCCCAGAAACAACAGAGTGATTATGGGCTGCAATTTGTATATCACAGTGTCAATAATGTGGCCTCTTTTAACCCCAGTGACATTAGGATCATGAGGTTAGCAAATGCTTTAGTTACTGAGAGTGTAAATGCATTTATTTCTGTAATATAAAAGTGAACATGATTTCTTTAGGGAATTTAATTCCAGTTTCATGTTTTATTTATGTCCATGTTTATTCATGTATATAGCTATATTTATTGCAATTAACAATCTTTGTAGTCATTATAAGGAGAGCAAATATCATCACTCAATTTGATAAAAACAAGATACATTTTTTTACCAAGCTAACTCTCTCCATACATAATTCTAATACATAAAAATATGTAATTGGTTAATCACAAGCAGAGAGAGAGGAGAAGAAAGATAAAGGATGGGTAATATAACATGTTGCTTTCTCACAAAACTATCAGTTCCTTTCAAAAGATTTTTGCAACAGCCTAGGCTGAATGAATTCCACTAGTCTGTTAGTATTCTGCCACTGCAGTACAAAAGGTCAATGTCAAATGCACCTCATTTAAAAGTCAATAGCCACCATGCACATCATCTCCTGGGAATTTGGTCCAGGATCCCTCCAGACAGCATTGTGTATCATTCAGTTAGCAGAGGGCAGCTGGAGGGCTTTTTTTAATCTTGACCTTCCAATAAAATATGCTGCTGATACAAAATTACACGTCTTAGATAAAGACGTAAGCTACCGGAAAATCCCAGCCAGACTCAAGGGAGATGAGCAGCAGCATGGGACAAAAGAACAACAGGCTTAATCTTTTATATCAACAGATTTTGAGGAAAAAATTAAATGTTTAGATTAGCTGTGAATTAATGTCTATTAGAAACACATACATGAACAAATAATACTTATATAATAATTTTTGTTACCCTTTTCTCTGTAGTATTTTTAGACCAATTTTACAATGCTCTCTGAACTTAATGACTTTCTCAAACAGACAAGAGTAAAGCAGCTCCAGCTACAACCCATTTGGCTGGAGGCTCCTTGGTTCGAAGGTGGAAGGCCCATACATATGTGGAGCCGCGCTGCTTTGTGCGGTACACTGGACATTCAAAGGTGTTCCTGAGCACCTGCTTCTCCTCAAGCATAGCTCGAACATACAGTACAGGCATGGCGGGTGTGAGATCTCTAAGAAAAGCCTCAGAGATTACACCCAACTCAATGTCCCAACGAGCCCCTAGGAGGAGAAAGATCAATGTTCATGCTGCACATAGTATACTGTAGGTCCAAATACACCATATAAAATACTTGGCTTATTCTGACCTTCCATGAAGAGTCCATGAATGTATGCTCCCTCCCTTGGAGGATGCCCAAAGTCCTCTTTCATCTTCTTTGTAACATCAACAGTCAGAGTCATTTTGTCGAGAGGTGACTGAGTTTTGCGAGCAACACTCTGCAGCACGGCTGGAAAAAATACACAGGCCTCCACATGTTACTTCTATGAATTGGATGAAGCATTTCCTCACAAAGTTACTTTTGAGTTATTGTATTATTAAAGCAATTAAATATCAAATACTCAGCCCTTGTACAACATAATCATATTCACCTCCGATATTTGCATTTTTTAGATATTTCAAAATATTAGTGTAAATTGTACAGAGAAGTTAATAGGGTTAGCTTTCAAATCAATTGAACATGCACTGCTATCTATTATTAGTTAAGACCCATTTTAACTCTTTAAAGGGCCACAAGCAATATTACCAAATAAGTTAGAAAATCTTTTTTTCACAATTATAAAATCACAGTTTGAGTTTAATAAGATGTTTGATTAAACACAGCTTTTTCCCAGCTAAGGTTGATAACATAACCTACTTTAATTTTCACTTCCAAAGTTTAGAAATCTAATCTTCTTCCTATCACAAACTTATCTATAAATAATTTACACATGTATGAGAATACATCTTGTCTTAAAAAAAAAAATAGTGACATTGGGAATTAGAACTAAGAGAGTCAAAACAATAAAAGGAAGTCAATTTTCTATTGCTCCTAATGCTAAAATCATTAGAAAAAATACATGATTATCTCCAAAATACATAAACATTGTTTTTTCTCCCCTATCCCAATGTTTTTTATCAATACATTGGTATAAAAAGTGTAACAAAAATATACTTGCAGAGACTTTCACTTACCTCTAGTAATGACTTAAGTAAAGGACATACAGTTGTACTAGGATTACATGCCCTCCCATTAAAGGAAATGATAAATTCACACTAGCAATTCAAATAATACAAAACTAAAAAGGTGATAATAAAAAAAATAAAATACAAAATGATAATTTAGTAAAATAAAACATTGATTTTGAAATTGTATTCTAAAAAATAAAAATAAAAACTTTCCCAGAGAAATTAAAGTATCTTGCTGTTGAACAGTGCAATAAACTGTCAACAGGTGCAGAAGTCTTACTGAACATTTCCTAAACATTACAGAACACACCTGATTTCAATGATTGCCTCAAAGTGTTTCACAGCAAACTAAATTCACAAGGTCCATCAGGAAAAAAAATGTGCGTGTGAGTGCATGCACAAGCCCATTCTCCTCGTGCATGCTCTGTTTAAAAGCTGCTGTGCTCATAGCTCATACAAGCTTACTGTGTCTGAACGTCTGCCCTAAACCCCAAATCACTCAATCACTATATAGAGCAGGGACTTTATAGTGAACTCAGTCAATTTATTGTTCCAACAGAAGATCACTTCCCTGTTGGTCCACTCTGTGGTGCCTGTGCCATCTTATTAATCACCGCTGTCGGGTAGTGGCAGCCTATGGCGATAGTGGGCTGCTGTGACGGCAAATCCCATAATGCTTTGAGAGGAGAGCTCTCCACGCAAAGCATTCTGGGATATATCTGGCTCTTCTGAGGCCTTTCTTTTCTTATCATACACTTTGTAGACACTTTTTCTCTTATGACCCTCTGCCATTTTCAAAGAATCGCGGTGAGAAAGGTGAGATACATGCCTGAAAGTGTGCATGCGCAGAAAAAGATCGCTAATACGAGCACGTAGGACGGCCTTAAGTAAACATATCACCAGAAATATTGACAGTTAGGAGGACCACTTATTTAGATAAATAAATGATCAACCTCTACACCTTTAAGTGCTCAGACTTAACCACCTTTTCAAGTAAAGCTTAGCCAGATAGCATTAATCTAGTAAAAGCAAAATTTTTAAAGGTTTTTAGTACTTGAAACATGAATATACTATTAATGAAAACTCACCAGTAAGGAAGGACTGTGGGTTGAAAAGCCCAGACAGCCAAACAACAGCAGGAGGAACAAAGTCTTGACTCCAACTGTCCAGCTCATGACAGCTGATATTTAGATCATTCAACCTACAAAAAACACAAATCTTTTACAAAATGTTGCAGGTAGAAAAATCACAAAACAACTATGAGCTGTAAAAAATTACCACTGTGCCAGTGTTTTAGTTGAGGGAAAAGCCAGTCTAGCCCAAGAGTCTGGAACCAAATCATTGAAGAGTGCAGACTGTAGAGTCTCCATACTGGAGGAGGTGGTAAATTCTCCCTGTGGATAAGAGAAACACTTTGGTATAACAATAAGCTACTGTGTTTGGTCTAACTCCATTGTTGGTGTACGCTGAAAAGAATTATGCAACCGTTTTTGGCATTTACGTAATCATATTCAGTTACTTCCACACAATTTTTTGATGTTAGCAGGGTAGGAAATAAAACAATTGTGGTAAAGTAACTAAATATGATTAAGTAAATGCCAAAAGCGGTTGCATTTAAAGTGTGCATTCAAATCCTGTTACTAATGTGGTGAAGCACTCTAAAAGTAAGTTTGATCCCCCACTGCTTTTTTTTTTTTGTGGTAGGCTGTACCTTTAGACCAGCGTTTAGCTCATTGAGGGACTTCCTTATTTCCAATAACAGCAGGTTCATACGCTCACACTCCTGGAAGCACACTAAGACATATGGGCTTCGGTCTGTTGTCTTTGTCATCATCTCAGAGACATTATATTCCTCTGGAAGCCTCTCAAGCATGCCTTTAAGTATGGCTATGACCTGTCAAATAAACAGTGAGTTCTTGCTTTATAAAGTGCTTTGTAAGCATCTTACCGTAATACACAGAAGAACTTTTCTTCTAACAAGAAGTTTACAACAAATTCATAGGACCGGGCAGAGCTGGTTTTCACCAGACAGGTAGCCCAGAAGCTCACAATAACTTTGGAAGAACTTTAGAGGTGCAAAAAACCGGACAAAAGCGGGAACTACGTTTGATGTCCACCAGGATGTCTGTAAATATCCAGCAAGAACAATAGGACTTGTATTTTACCAAATCTTATGACTGGTTCAAAATGGTCCAAAGTCCAGATCAAAGTCAAATTGAGAATTTGTTGCAAACTAAAAAAAATTAATAATACAAAGATATCCATTCAGTCACACTGAGCTTTTTGTGATTTTGATGTCATGAAGTCCCTTAAAAGACTGTACATTGCACCAAATTTACAGAGAAGTCTACAGAGTATTCATTCAGGATAGATTAGATACATATCAATAGTCTTTAGTTTTATTTTGATAGAAAACATAAAAAAATTATAATTTTCCTTTCACTTATCTTTCATGCATTTTTCGGTTTTCGTGTATGTTTATGCATAGTTTCACCACAAAATGTGACAAATAGCTATGGGCATGGTTTACATTTACAGGAAAGTATGTTTACATCTATCTATCTCCTGCAGCTTTTCATCAGAAGAAGTTATTTTGTGCCTCCATACCCTCTCGTCTGTGCTTTCAGTGGCTTCTTCTCCTCTGGACAGGTCCTGGGGCTGCAGGTTCCACAGAGACCTGAACAGGTTTTCTGAGGTGACAGTGAGGCACTCTAATTCAGCGTTTGGATGGAGGCCATACAACATGGGGCTCTCTGCTGGGAGGTTTTCATCAATATAAACATGGTAACCAGTGTAGTCCAAATATGGAGGCGCCAGAAATCCCAGACACAAAGAGATATCTGCTTCATACTAAGGGAATGGAAAAGAAAGGTGGACATTCAGAACCACATTTAAACCTTACTTGAAACTAAATGCTGTGTTTTTTCTACTAAACATATGTCTGCTTGGCTGCAAAAAGTCAATGGAAAGATTAATAGTATTACAACTGAGGAGGCTCTAAATGTAGTTCCGTTTTCTATCTCAGGAGGGCACTCTTTGCTTGCAGAATAATACAAAGAAATCCTAAAGAAAAAAACAACCACTCTTCATACTTTAGAACAGCATTCAAACTCATAGCGGTTATTCACAAGTCCCCTTCTGAAAAAGATTAAATAAAAAGTAAATTTTTTGTGTAAGCCTGAAGGAAACACCTAAATGTATTGTTAAAAACACGATAAACCCTTGTGGGATTTAAGGTTTTAGAACAAGAGCTCTTTGACTTTTACCAAGTTCGAACATTATTTAAATGTACAGCCAGGTCACCAAAACCACATATTCTACTCACCATACTTATTTAATTAAGCAATAAATCAAAGAGGAATTCTGTTCATGATACTTGTGGATATTTTTCACCTGATGCCTCAATGGTGTTCGAGCCTCAAACTTCCAGACCTTTCATTTCTTAAAATATATATTTTTTTAAATAGCTACCGGTAATCATAAATGTTTACAATTATTATTTTAGCGGGTGCTGTAATTCTTCAGTGATTATGTTGAAAAAAAGTAAAGATAGAAGCAAGCAAGAAAAAAAGCTTTCAAGGAGGTGAAAAAACACAGACAGTCATATTCAATACATTAAAATATGTTTTCTGAGTACATTAGTCAGATCAAACTAACCCTTCGAAATTAACCTTCCTCTATGATAAATCCAAATTTCTGATTCAACAATATAAATTTTTTATGCATCTGATGTCTTAAATGTGATATTTTCATTAGATTTAAATGAGAAAAATATCATGATTACCAGAATAAACTTTTCTGAACATCAAACTGTGTTTAAATATTCCTTCAGCTTCTGATTTGAGTTACTGAAATAACTTAACTTTTCAACTATATCTATTGAATAATAATAATAATAATAATAATAATAATAATAATAATGACAATAATAATAATAATAATAATAGGGAGGAATTCCATACTTACAGAGCTTTTCTTGGAATTCAAAATTGGTATCTTTCCTTTTTGCCCTACATATTCTTAAAAAGGAAATAAATATTCCCCAATATTAAGAGCTGACTTACCATTTTAGGATGCATAAATTGTTGCAGATAGGTCTTGCAGAGCCTTCTATCCCAGATATCTGTGATGTGGCCCCCATACATGATGTCTCCAAACAGATAACATAAGTCCTCCCAGGGCACCTGCATGAAGTTTAAATCAAATTAAAATGAAAAGAAGAAAAATGATAATCAAAAGCTCCTTAAAGAATAAATTTTTTTTAAATAAACCCAGAGAACTGAAATATTTTAAGCATTTACAGTACATGGTGAAAAAAAAGGACCCACATTAATATGCAGGGTTTTTGGGGTCCACCATTTTTTTTTAACACTGCAATGAAGCATGTATTTTTTTTACATTGTACTCATCTCTGTGTAATATTGAGATTTCAATTAGGTTAGGTTCAAATTAATCTGAAAGCTGTTGAACCCCAAGATCATTGATTGAATATTTATACAATCCTATACATATTATTGCTTTTCACCATAAATGCAGATATATTTAGTTTAGATATTCCAGAAAGACCTTAAGGGGCAACTACACTATACCCTCCTTACCGACAACTTCTGGGGATGTTATGATAGGGAATATAATAAAATGATATTTCTTTACACAAACCAATGCGCTGGATGACAGAGTAGTCTCTGCCTCAGCGGGAGATTATGAACCCCGAGCGTGAAGGAGGAAGAACAGAACATGCAATTCATAACAAATTACAAAAGCTGTAGGTTCAGTTGTACCTGTATTGTTTTGCAAATTGCTTCCTTCATCAGCTCTAATTGCAGTGATCACTTATGTAGCGATGTGAACTGTCACATTGGCTGCGTGTAATTACATTTAGGATAACGCTTCATTGCCCTTCTAATGAATCCTCTGTATACGCACATACAGGTTAGTGTTTGGTTAACGTAATGAAGGACATTCGTTTTTGGAGGGCAGAATACTTTGGAGATCTAATTGGTTATGACCGCAGTAATGGGAGTTCTAAGAGAAATGCATCACGAGTTGTGAGGGGTGCAAATCTGAAGGAATGGATTTTTTTGTCTTTGTGAAATAAAGCTAAATTATAGGTTGTGGATTAGAAAAAATAGCCTGTAATGAGCATTTTTCACAAATACCAATGCGACAAAAGACTTTAAAGAAATAATTGGAGAGACTTCAGTGTAATTCAAAATCCTTGTCTCACATTAATGTCGATAATAATACCATTACCCTTCTTTTTTATTATTTAGTTGACTACAAAAACACATTAAAAGTTTTATTAAGAAAAAAGAAATATAATGAAAGGGGATTCTGATTAAGAATAATAAATACTTTGGAGTTGGCCTCTAGGTAGTTATATAAAACATTGGCCGAAATGGTGAGGTCCCCTGTGCTGAAGGGGTAGTTGTGATTCCATCCTTGGGGACCAAATTTTCTACGTTCTGTTACACAGGCGTGGAAGAAGCAGAGGGAGAACAACATCAAGTTAAACTCTTGCTCTCTGGAAGACATATCTAGAGTCTCCTGAAAAGTAAAAAAAACAAACAACAAGAACCAAATATTAGCTTCAGGCGGCACATATCAGGAGACACCTACAGGTGAAAGTATTCAGCTCACCTGGCTGAAGTTGTTGAGCGCAGCGTGTAAACTGGGGTTCATGCCGGAAGGGGGCTCGTTTGTGATTTTGATGGCATTCTCCAGTACGCCTCTGGGGATCTTATTCTGCTCAGGGCTCTCTGCTGGTTCTGCAGTGATGAAAACTCTGTAGCTGGCATGGCTGTCTGCTGCTGCCATCTCCAAGAGAGCATCTAGCAAAGGCAGCCAGCGAACCGCAAGGTGCACATTCTGACCAAAACAAATGATGAGATTTAATAATAAATTTCTAATTCGATGCATCCCAAAAAATATTTTCTATGCCCTTTATTTGTTTAAAAAACCCTCGCCAATTCCCTTAGGTCACAGCCCCTATCTAAAGTAGCCAATAATTGAGCTGATCTTGCCAATTAGGGCTTTTATTGAACCAAATTGAGTTTATTTCCCTCGTTCCAGGGATGAGATAATATCATTAGTGGCACAAGGAGGCTCAGCATTGAGTCACAGCTTTCTGTGCAGTGTACTGTAGTAAGAGCCTCTACCTGCAAAATGACCCATTGTCCGTGTTTGGAGGCATTCCTGAGAACCCTCTCTGCCTCCTCCTCCTGCCCCTGTCCAAGGGACACATTGTGCAAAGTTCCCCAGTCAATGGAAAATCCAAGCTTTAAACCTGCATTATAAAATAATAATAATTATAAAAATAAAATGCAAACAAATCCAACTCAGAAATAATATGCATGGGTCAAACTAGATGCTACCTAGTTTCTCAACATCTCTAAGTGGATCCACTCCAGGTGAAAGGATGAAGAACATGGAGGTTGAAGGACTGCTATCCTCATACAGTGTCATAAATTCCAGCCTGGTGTTCTCCAAATATTTAGTTCCCATGCTTTGTTCCACAAACCTCCTATAGGAAGACATCATGAGAAGCTTGGCAAGTGGTAGACCAAAAAATGCAAACCTACAGTTCTTTGCAAAATGAAGCATACCCCTTGAACTTTTTCAGCAATGAAGTATTTTGGAGCATGCCTGTACTAGCTTTACACTTTATAGATTGAAAGGTGCTTGTTTTCTTGCTTTGCAAAAAAGCCTACAGCTCATAAAAATTCTATATCTATTTTTTTAAACAATGTTCAATGAACAATGATATGATGATAGGTATATTCTGCTCAAATCTTGATCATCACACATCTTGTAACCTAATACTGGTTTGATACTTCACCCCTCTATCCCTGAGCTGTATTCCTTGGTCTACATTATGCTGCCTGTCCATTAACCTTTTCAACAATCCTTTACAGACCAGCTGCTTTTACGCTGAGAATAAGTCACACACAGGGGGACTCCATATATTAAATCGTGGACATCTTTCAAGGGAACCGGTCTGACTGGCGTTTATTGGTAGAGATCAGAGTAGAGGTGACTGAATATCAGTGCATGCCTTCTACTTCTAACATAAAATTTTAAAAAGTTCAAGCTGTGTCAAGTGTTTCACAAGTAAAGTTGTTGAACAATGGTTAGTTATTTACCGCAATGCATAGGTTAGCCTATCAGGTCGGAGTGCTCTCAGGATAATGAGCTTCTGAAGGAGGCTCTTATTCTTCCAGTCCTGAGGAAGCTTTTCGTTCTCAGGAGTGCTGGATTCAACAATCTTCCTCCAGCGTTTCGGGGAACTCTCCATATCTTTGTCAAGCCCACTGAATCCCTCCATTGTAGAGATTGTCTGCATCAGAGTAAAGTGTGTCATCATGTCATCCTCCAATTGTACAGAGCACTGTATGTATTAAAAGATATTAACTCAGGTAGCAGAATTATTGTTTCATACCTTAATGGCCCCCCAGCTTTGTGGAGAGAGGAATGACAGTGCACTGACTTTTGTAGCCTCCACTGGGAAATGAAGCAGGAACTCAAATTCCTGGGGATCAATCAGACCCTGACTAAGGAGAATCTATGGAAGAGAACCATAATCCTTTTATTATCTATGTAGTTTTGAGAAATTTTTAGTCAATGAAACAGAAACAGAAAAAAAAAGTCAACTTCAAAGGCTGAAAAACTTTAATTAAATTTGAAAAAAGCCACATGAAGGACAGCCTTCAAAGTTGGACAGTTCTTATGAAGAAAACAGTTGCTGCTGTGACAGATAATTGCATTATGCCTTGAGATCCAACCCTCTTGTCAGAACCAACTGTCTGAACAGCAGCCACAGAGCCAGGTGTGAAAGGTAATCAATAGCAGCGTATGGTATTGCTGACTGCTTTTAATTGAAGTTAATGTGGGGGCAGAAAAGTACTTTGATTGATGAGAGTGACAGCAGGCTCCACCTTTGGGGGCGGACCTCGGTCCCTCACCTGGAAGGCAATGTGTGACAAGAAGGTTAATTTGTCTCTCTCAAACAGGCCCTGGCTGGTGTACAGGAATACAGAATAGGTGATGGCCTCAGTGAGGGTGCACACTCTGGTCTGTACATCTTCGTCCCATTCAGCATTCTTTATTGCTTTGTTAAACATTGAGTTAAATGCCTGGAATAAAACCAAAGAGAGCAAAATTATCACTAGGTACAGTTTCTTGCTAAAGTCTCAATATTCTCTGAATAATTTCACTAAACTCTCCTAGATGACTTGCAGAGACACATCATTTTCTCTTTACCCCCTAAAAGACAAAATCTAGTTCTGAAAAGAGCATGAATTCCGTACTTATCTTTAATGTTTGTATATTGATGTGCATAATTAACCACAGTGTTTTTGTTTGTCAAGTAATTGTTAATATATGTAAAATTAAAATGTTTTGAATATTCAACTTTAAATTATTACTGCTGCCACCATCTTTATTAGAGGGAAATAAAGGGTAGGGGTGGCCACAGGGGTTGCCAATGATTGGCTAAGGGAGGCCACGGCCACCCCTGGCCCCCCATCTAGTTCCGCCCCTGTTGCCACTTATCACAAAAAACTTCTGTGAATTTTATCTGGATTTTTGTAACAGACCAATACACACCAATGAAAAAATGAAGGAGAAAGACGTCATCTCATGTTTTTTTTTAATATTTCTATTAAAAATAAAAGCTTTTAAGGTATAAAGTGCATTAGTGGTTAGCTCCCCTGAGTCAGTACTTTGTAGAACTCTCTTTTTGCTGCTATAAGAGAAACCTTTTCTATGGGGTCGCCTGTCTACCTGTTTAAACACCAGGAAACAAAATATATTTTTGCTCGAGTTGATAAAGACTGGATGGAAGCATAAGAGCTATTTAATTATTGAGTCTTTTCATACATTGTAAACTGGATTAAGGACCGGATTTATATAGGTGACATTCTATTATATTATTATAATCCATTCCATTTGCAATCTGCCCCTGTTTAAAGCTGGACCCAGGATGAAGCCTCTAATTTTTTGTGTTGTTTTTCTAGGATTGCCCTGCATGTAGCCTCATTCATTTTCTACTGACTCTGACCTTATTCACCCCTTGCTGGTGAAAACAGCCCAGGAGCATAATGCAGCCACTGCCATGTTTTACAATGTTTGTCTCATATCATCAGAGCACGGCCTTCCACATATCAACCGTTTCCTACGGTTAGTAGCAAACTACAAATGAACTACAGAAATCTCATGAATGTAAAGTGAAAGAGAATAGCTTTTTTCGAAAGAAAATGTTTTTCTTTTTTTTATGCACAGTGCAGCTCCAATTGCATGAACAGTTGGTTAAATAAAATACTGCCTCAAAGGGATTGAATACAAAGGTTCGCTGTCATTTCAGATTTTAATTTGTATACTAAAAAATCGTGTGAAAGGGATATTTAGGAAGTATTCGAAATAAACATCCCTCTGAGAGCACCCCAGGCTGGATAGTTTCACCTTGAGAGAAAACTGGTACATGGGGTTAATCTTGCTGAGGTCATTGATGATAAAAAACAGGAGCGACGCTCTCTCAGCTGCTGGGCGGTATAGTTCCCGAGCCTCGTTGATCTTTGTCTCGTTGTCTCTAGCCTCTGCCACCTGTGTGTTCCGATTGCAAAAAAATTAGCTATTAGGCTCTCAGTCATGCTCCAAAACCCTCCCATTACACATATGCCTAGCTACACATCATTTATAGCTAATGCAATAAAATGAGCCACACGCTGTCGTGTGACATTTAAAAAAAGGAAAAAAAGAACAACACAGAGCAATTTTTGTGTAATAACTTTACCTTACACTGAATGTGAGAGGCCATGCGCTTGGTATTTTCAAGCTGCTCCACCAGAGAGTTGTCACTGAGAAAATTACCACTAGCCGCAGACAAATGACTCAGTAGATCATCCTCAAACTTCTTGAGCTCAATCTTGAATTGGTTCTGTTGCATGGTGAGCTGCAGCTTGGTGGGTAACATTTGAAATTAAGTTATGTTTATTAATTCACTTTCCTGTAGACCACAAACAGTCTTCAAGTTTCGCAACATGTAACAAGGTTTACCTTTAGACTCTCCAGGTCAGGTCTCTCACTGGACACCGCCTGTCCAAGAAGCTGGTTCCCCAGGCCCTCGGGTGTTACTGTGAAGTTAATGAGGGTGGTCTGGGCCTGGAGCTCAGGAGGGAAGTGCGGATTAGCCAGCTTGGTGTGTAGAATTAGCTGAAAGTTCTTGTTGTACTCACACTCCTTGTCGCCAATAAGAATAAACCTATATAACAGGAATAGGAAAGACAACCATTACAACCATTATTCATGGTTCTAATAATGCTCTCAATATTTAGAATTTACAAACAATCAACTAAACAATATCACTACAACAACTGTGTCGCAAAACTGGAGAGATGTTAATAACTTTTGGAACATGTTGCAACAGAAACTGAGTACCTTTATTTAAAATGCGTTAGATATATTGTTTTCAACTGAAAAAGATTAACAGAGTGCTTATTCAATGAACAAATCTTTTTTTTTGTTAAAGCTACAGTGTGTAATTTTCAGCGACATCTAATGTCCAGACTGCAGACCGCAGCCACATGAACATCTCCCCCCCACCGCTTCTCCCCCCCAACAGTACGGCGAGCGTTACGGGACAAAATGTCTTCCACAACGTCCGCATCACCTACCTTCTCAAGTGATGAGGTTTGTTTACATAGACCATTTTACAGATAGTATTTCATTAGTCTGTGTAGGGTATAGATTTCATGTAGACTTAAGATAATAAATATACCCGTTATTTTTTCTACATCGTTGTGACGTTTTGGTGAGCTGCTTTGCATGGTGATATAAACAGACGAAGTAATTGTAGTCATTAGTTTAACAGCGAGATTGTGTTCGCTGGAAGAATATATATTCCCCGTTTACAGAGTCCAAGTCTTGTTTGTGGCACGGGGGTTACAAGGCGAGGAAGAGGGAGAGGAAGAGGGCGAGGAAGAGGGCAGAGAGGCCGGGGTGGGCGTGCAGCCAGGGCCATGCGAGGGAGAGGTGCCAGCGGGGTGACTAGAGCAGAGGAGGAAAGGCTTGAAGATCTCCAAAGGAGCCGTAGAGAAGTAACCGAGGTATATATCCAGAAAATTATTTTACAGAAAATTACTGAATCATTACCTGTGAAACGTCAGGGACGTTGCTGAATAATTATACTGGAGAGTAACAGCATCATCACGCAGCATGTTATTGTAATGGGCGATCTCGCAATCACTAGTTTGTTGGCTCTGCGCTGCCGTAGCGCAAAGATGTCTGCCTCCATGGCTGCGAGACCCGCTCCTATGTAATTATAAATAACGAATTCTAAGGCAACGCAAATATTAAGGTTAAGAGGCTGAGCTCGTAGATGATGATAAATAACATAGTTATGTATAATATATTACATTTCTAACTGTATATCCCCTATAATTATTACACACTGTAGCTTTAACTATTAAGAGACAAAATTTGTGAACTGGCAATAAATAAGAGCATTCCAGTGGTGCAGCATAAAACATACGACTCAGTTTCATATACTTCAGTCTTAAAGGTATAGTGGAGGATTTTCATAAGTTTTTGAAACGACCTGCCATCTCCACTTTTAAAAAAAAGTGCACATGCATGTATCCGCTCCCAAGAGGGAATGTCTATTAAACGTGTGCGAGAGCATACACAAGCCTATTTCTCCTTGAGTATGACTGTTTAAAAGTTGCTGTTTGCATCACTCATACAAGCTAACTTTCCAAAAGAAGAGTTGGAATTTTTTCACAACGTCAGACTCACCACCGCTAAGTCAAAATGGGGACGAGCACATAGGACAGCCTTACGTAAAAATATCACCAGACTGATTGACAATTAGGATGACCACTTATTTTAATGATCCACGCGGAAAAAGAACATCCTCCACTACCTTTAAATTCAGAGCACTTCATGTCTTCCCTCACTCTCAACTCCTCTTCCTCTCGGTATGCTATCCAAAAGGGCCACTAGGGTTAAACAGAACGGCACAGGATTCAGCGCTATATAAATAAGTAGGATGATCAAACCTCATGACAGTGATGGACTTCTAAACGAAGCCACTTTTAACCTTATAGATTTATTGCTGAGTGCAGGTTCGGCCTGACATAAATTTTCTTTAACTTTTCTACAAATATAGTTAGAAAAATATAAGATATTATCAAAACAGCAGCCAATACTCATCTAGTTTTATCCCTCAATTAAAGCAGGAGTTACTTGACAAACCTGGTGGCTTTACATTTATCTCTAATTGCCCCTTGGATGTCGAGCAAGGCCCCAATTTTTATGGAACAAGATCCTCATGGCCTAGGTATGGTTCAACTCTATATCTTCACAAGCCGGAATTAATGTACTATTGATAGAACCATTACTCCACCAAATTAAAGTCCTGCTGATGGATTGGCTTGTAGTCTTCCGTCAGCCATGAAAGGAATAATTAGTATTCATTACTTCACACTCTGCAACATTCCAATTATTAATGAACTTCAGCTGTAGAGCCCTACCAGATCCATCATGGCTGACCCAGCAGGTTGTATTAATCATAGACAGAAAAAAGTGTGCAGGTCATCTACAAGGGATAAACTTCTAATCAGATTAGGATGATTAATTTGTATGTCTGAATGGACAGAACTTCAAAAAAGCTTAATGAACATCCTCAAAAAAATTCAATATTAATGCTTAGAAATGGAGGAGCCCAAGAAAGCTGTAAGCATTTAAGAGGAGGAAATGAAAGCAGAACATCGATATGCGGTATTTTCTATTTATGCTGTTGGTTGTCCACCTCATAGAATTTATTGTATCAGAGGGAAGGGCGTAAATTTGGTACTTGTAGATCGGTATAGCTTATGGTGCAGAGACCAAACCGCACCATTGTCAGATGCTTTTATAGTCCACTTAAACATTCAATTTGAAAAATACTTTATTAACAGCAAGAGGAAACTAAGTTTGGCTGTAATTATTATGATATGGGTTTGTTAAAACAGCTGTTGCAGATGCTGGTGGTGAGCAGGAAGATTTTTCCATAGCGGTTTGTCTAAAAGCAGATCTGAAGAAAATCTGTACAACAGCTTGATGAAGAGGCTGCTTAATCTGGTATTTAATGATCTTTATTTTATAAAGGTTCATTGTTTGCACAGCCAGCTCCAGAGGTTTTAGAGGAGTCAACATAAAAGAGCTCTTTTAAGTATTTTATCCCGGCAGATAATGAGAGGAAAGATCACACTCTCTCCAACAGGCTTAGAGAAGATATGAAACATTTTTCTGCAAACACTACAGCATCTCCAGTCAAGTCTGTTGCCTAGGTGAATTTATGCCCCTCCACACCCTCCACTTCTCGCATAGTGCTGATAGAATTGGACGTGTTTCTGTTTCTCTTAGTCTATTTCTTTTTTAGAGTAGGCAACAGGAGTTTCTCACCCATCAGTCATTGAGGATCAGTGATGGAAATAAAGTCATGATATGTTAATCCAAATGAGAAATTCAAGGTTAAAATAAAATCGAACATAACAGCGGAACACCTACATGCTACTACCTTAAATGGTGCAATTGTAGAGTCCAGATTTGAACTTAAATCCCTACTTTTGGCCTTTTGGGTAAATAAGTGACAATTTATTAATAAAATTTCTTACAGTCATGAAACTACATTTCAATGATACATGGTCCTTTAAGGTAGTTTTAAATGTCCAGTGATGGAGTCCCTGAAGAAAATTAACTCAACCTGACATCATATTTTATTAACATTCTTTATATTAACATCCTACATTTTTAGGTAACAATGACCTGTGTTTTTTATAGTATGCTTACAGGAACAGAGGAATAAGATTCAGAAATGGGTAGACATGCTGCGAAGGTCAACATGATGGGATCTGAACCTGTGAGAGCCACATCTATGATCATGGCGTATGTACATACTCCCCAACAAATCACACATTAAGAAAAAAGTATTCTGTTGATTTCATTTTTTTTTCACGTAAAATCTTGAACCCCTTACATAAAAAATAAGGCAAGATAAATGGCATCTGACACCTTGACTGGTTTCAAAGATTGATGTAGTAAGATTTAAGCAAAAACATGTCGACGCCATACAAAACCTCCTAAGATCACTCTATATACAGTACACACAATATGGATATCTTTAGCACATCACCATCTCTGTGCAGGATATTAAAAACAAATTCAGATTGGTATATCAAGGTTATAATGGTTATCCTCTAAAATCTGAAGAAAATTCAGGTGCCAAGAATCATTCGAATGTTTATAGATATAGTAATTGTTTACTGACAGATTTCAATAAAAAGCTAGATGGGGAACTACTGACTGTAGCTTATTACAAGTAAGCTTTTGTGAGAAACAAAACCTTATACATAACCATGTTGATGCCTAATTCGTCTTTTTTTCTGAAGCTCATCCATTCAATATTCATTACAGCTTAAAGAATAAAAACACTCAATTATACATCTATCACCCATCTTGAGGGGTCGATCAATAGCTTGACCTCAGGGGTTCAGACGACAAGCTGCAAATTCATTTATAATCTAAAAGGGGAGCATGATGATAAGTGTAGTCATATATCTGGATTTTGTGGAACAAAAATATTCAGTGATGTGGCAAATCTGCAGCAATTTTTTAGGCTTCTTTAGCCAACTGGCAGTACGACTTATTGAATGCACTGATTTGACCTTATTTTAATGTTTTCTGGGATTAAAGTATTTCAGCACTAACCTTCCTTTTTTAACTGTTCTTTTTTCCAGTACAGGCTCCAGGATGGGGTCAACCTCTTCTTGGAGATTTTCTATAAGGACGGTTTCTCCACAGATGAGAGCTTGTTCTATTATTTTCATATACCTGCACCAAAGTGTAAAATAAAAAAGGAATCTTTTTAATATACTGTAAACTGTTTTTTTGAAAAACTGAAGCAGATAAATATTCACCCTTTCTGTCCCAGGCGCACCACCCTCAGATCTGGCCCGAGACGATTTCGGATCCACTTGATGGCCTGTTGCTGTGGGTCGATGATGAGAGGCCAACGCTCACTGGTGGTCAGGATGGCTGCATTTTCAGTTGACATCCTATCGTTTGGCAAGCCCTGGTTGTGCCAGGCTGCGACAGTGGCATCATCTGTAAGCATGAGGATCGGATCCAGGTCGTCTGTCAGGGCCACAGAGACCTGGAATGAAATCAGATAATTGAGGTCATTGTAATGGACTCCAGTTCACATTGCCTGAGATTTTTACAGAGCAAATGTTTATCTTCAACAGTTGTGACATTATATATGTAACAGAATTTTACCTTCTGTGACTGAAGGAAAGGGATCCAAGAGTTTTTAAAAAGCTCCACTCGATACTGGCTCGTAAAATAACCCAAGTATGACATGAAAGCTGACGTTAGGAGGACGTCGCCACACAAGGTTTTCTGCTGTTTCTCATACTGGACAATTGCCTGGGACCAGCGTTCCTTTTCTGCCTGGAGGAGATTAAAGAAAAACTTCAGTGATGTTCTTTTAAGGATTGGCTAGCAGCTAATATATTCCTTTTAGTAGACAGCTTTCTTGCTGTCTCATTAAGTATAATTCCAGATGAGACCAGCCAATAGGCTGAAGCTAATGACTAGCCAGAGAGGCCAAAACAAAGCAACCATTGTCCTGTACCAGCTGGATGTGTCTACATCAACAAATCTAAAACATAAACAGATCATTAGAAGATAACGTAGAACTTAATTGCATGAAAAGGTTATTCAGTCATATTTTTAGGTGTTATTGAACTTGTGACACATCCCAAACTTGCTAGACATCAGCCCCTTAGGATTGGAGTTTGACACCCTTGCCTTGAAGCAACTTTGGTCTTTAAACTGTCACAGTGGGTTATCTTTGTGCAATATTTTAACCGTTGTCCCAATTACACCAGGTAGGAGCTTGCATCCAAACATACGATCATTTAGAGAGGAGATGGAGGTTAGACCTTCTGCCCCACCCTAGTAAAAACTGTACTGAGAACAATGCAATGACTTTGAAAGTTGATTTTAATGTTTCTTTAAATATGTGGAGCATTAAAAAGAGGCACATGTATCCTTTCCTCTGTTTGTATTCTGAGAAGATATTAGAATACAAATGGAGCTGAATGTAACAAACTACAGATCCTGAATAATGTCTTAAAAATTTTGCATGTGGATTCTCTGCATCAATTCAGCATTTATTTCAACCTTCAATACTGTGACTGTGACGGCCTGCGGCAATAAATCAAGCGTGGCATTTTCTTACAAGGGGTTGTGGATCTAGAATATGTCACATAATAAATTCTCAGACAGTTAAAAATCACTATAATTTTACTCTAATGCATTATGGATCGCTTGTAATATCACTCAGTCTGGGGTGAGACGTTGTTAATTTCCAACAGCTGTTGAGGCTTTGAGGTAAGTTAATGATTAAACATAGACGGTCTGATTTATTAGTCTAAACACTATTGCTTCCAGGTCAATGCCATAAAGACAAAACATTTATCTTCATATGCTTAAAAGCCAAGATGTTCCATGCAAAAAGCATTTATTTTCTAGAATAAGAAAGTCAAACTTGGCAAAATGGCCACTAAAATTGCCATCTGTTATTTCACACTGACACAAAGATTTTTAAAAAGGCAATAAACAATAAAATAAAAGATTAATATAAATATTTTATTGTATTGCATTAGCAGGGCCTCAGGATAACTAGTCATAGTTTATAATTTCTTTATCATATTTTATGAAAACAAATCTGTTTAAAGAATTTTCAGACCAAATAAAACCTGTCTAATGTGCACCAAAAAGTCTTATTTGAATAGCTTTTTAGGCATCTCTTCCACTCTTAGTTTTGGAAAATGCCCAGGCAGCCAGTTTCCCAGTTCAGCCATGCATTTTCTGTGGACCAACCCACTTTAACTGTCTCACGTGTCCAGAGTGTGCTGCTGGAGCAGGCTGTGCCATCTTCCTCTGCCTGTTATGCTCATGCAACTGTCAATGTTTCCTGCCAGGATATCACAACTTTCAGTCCAGGTTATTAATGCAATTTGATTAGCAGCATGTCCCCCAGCAAAGTCTCAGTTAATCTGATGCCAGGTTAGGTTAAGTGACACCACCATACTCTTCTATGTCACCCCGCTTACCATTAGGCCTTTGACGAGTCGGTTGGCCAGCTCTATGGTCTGGGAGGTCTGCGTCACCTCCCCTTGACAACTAATTTTCTCAGCTGTAGCTCTGTCAAACTGAGCTGTTAGGCTTTGAAGGTTGTTATCAAAATCCTAGAGAAAAAGAAAACAAATCCTGCAAATCCGATACTACTTACAAGAAGTAGATTTAAGTCTTAGTAAAAACTAGGAATTTTTTAGCACCACAAGGTCATTGCTAAAGAAAATGGCTACTCAGAGTGCTTTATCCCAGCATATTATATTAAGTCAAAAGAAAAGTAGGGTAGGAACAGGTACATAAGCAACAGGGAAACTATTAGTTCTAAGAGGGTTTTGAAATGAAATCCTGTTAAGAAATGTATTAATATTAGCAGGGTCTCAAGGTAACTGTTATTGCATGGACAGTAATTTATACTAGAACAAGTTTGCAGTGTAGCTACTTCAGGGAGCAGAGATGCACTTTTTTGCAGGTCGATCCCTTGACAGTAATAAAATACTTTTATTTTTGCTCTTATTCAATCATAATGTGATGCATTATAACTAAATTCAATTTAATTTGTTAAATATTTTCAATAGGGCATTTTTTTTTTTTTCCTTAATGAACAATTGAAATATTGCCTATTTTAATGAGCTATGGCTGTCCGTTGTTATAAAAACAAACATTATGGAAAAATGAAAACTGAAATTAAAAAAACAGCAGCTGTTTAATGCTTTGTGCAATAATAGTCCATTAGGCCTGTTTCACAACCATGAATTGATTTTTACAACAGATTTTGGTTAGTTTATGACAATTTTTTTCAGAAAGATTACCCACAGATCAAACACACAAGCACACCCAAACACCTCAGACGTTTCATTGATAATGAGACGTGATAAAATTAAGTAGATCATTAAATGGGCTCAAGAGGTTTCCCATCCAAGTGCTTAACTGCCATATTAAATATATCCTCAGGGGGTTGAATGTTGGGGGTGGTGCTTGTGACCGGGTGCATAATCTAATTTGAGTGAGAAAAAAAAAATCTTAAATATAAAATGGTAGCCAGCCTTCAATTAGTCCAAAAGTATGAAAGTTAGCTATTACAGCTGCTCAACATCTGAACATGTGAGTCCAAGTTTAGGATCATATTGTTTACAAATAAATTTTCTCCAAAATAAAAACATTTTGATATTAAGTATATTCATTAAGAGTCAATTCTAAAAGAAAAAAACAAAAATACTTACCGCCAGTTTTTTTTGAACTGCTAAATATTTGGCTGTTGCCATTTCTAGCTCTGCATTAGCTTGCGATAATGCACAGCGTTTTGGGATAACCTCACAATAAATCTAAGAAGAAAAGATAAAACAATCAAGAATGCCAGTTCCAAAATGAATAAATTCCATTGATAATCATTTCTGGATATGTTCAGTCTTTGTCAAACCTCATAGTATCTAACAATATTAATAGTCCAAGCACAGAGCCCAGCTGCAGCTGTAGATTTGGTCCAAACTAGATCTGGACGGAAGTCTGGGTTTCTCAGATATTGTTGCTTCACCACAGTAAGGCAGGATTCAGGGATGTGCTCTTTGTCATACGACATCAGGGCATGTAGGAAATCATCCACCTGATGAATACATTTAATGTTCAAAGTCAAGTGTAAACACTTTAAAACTATTTTACAATTGGGAAAAAAATACGTATTTATTCATGTTACATTAACACAAAATATTTTAAGCAAAATCTCATCCAAAGCATATTTTAGTGTTTTCAATAGTTTACCATTTGGTGTATCTATCATTGTTTTCTATTCACACTTAAAGAAACTGCTGCAAGATTAAAAAAAATCATTTAAACACACTTGCACCACCAATGGGTAAGTAAGCATAATAATAGAGCCATTGAGCTGCAGCCTGAGCTTTGAAGAGCTGTTGGGCAGGACCTGGGTCAAGGCCCTCTCACGAATTAGACTGATATTAATCCGGATGATGTGATTGAAATGATGAATGCATAACCTTGCCCATGAAGGCCCGTGCCGCTTTCCAGCTCCGATCCTTAGGTACACGGCCATGAGGAGCCAGCAAGACCATGACAGCAGCTGCAACATTGGTCACCGCAGCTGGAGGGTTTGGAAAAGCTTTAAACTCAGTAAGATTTACCTACAAAATAAAACAGACATTCAGAAATACACACACACAGACATATATATATATATATATACATGTAAAAGTGATTTAATGGAACCTTGTTGAGTGTGTTTAGAGCTTCCACTGCAGCTGTCAGTGAGGGTTCTGCTTTAGCAAGGTCTTTTTCACAATCCTTCCGTTTGACAGCAATTTCTGTCTGCATCGCAGCAACCTGTACAAAAGTAGTCATTGCATCTACAGTTCCTTCATATGTACTGAATAGATGTGCAATGCCAAATATGGTAATAAACTACGCTTTAACAGGTCCTCTAACCTTTTGTGCTTCCAAGTCTGCTGCCTCTCTCTTCTTGCTGACTTTCTCAGTCTGTAAGCCAATCTTTTTTAAAAGAGCTCCTATCTTTTCATTTTTTAAAGTCAGCTCAGTTTCTTGTGATGCCAATTTAGCTTGTAGATCATCAACCTAAAAAAATAAATAAAAAATAACATGTATAAAAGGAAACAAATAAAAGATTGGTCTCCTAATTAAAAGCTGAGCTAAAGACGGAAACAGGTAGAAAAACCAGACCTGTGCTGCAGTGCTTTGGAGTTTCTGAAGGCCATTGTTTAGCCGGTTCATCTTGTGCAGAAGCTTAGCCCGGCTTTTCTCCAGAAGGTTTCTGTACATGGTGATTTGCTGGAGAAAGCTCTTGGGGGTGGTGTAATTGTACCTCTTCTCATTTTGCAGGTATTTTTCACTTGCCTGGTTGACACTGTTGTGAACGTAGGCCATGAAAAGACTGATGGATTCCTGGACAGCAGGCTATAAAAATAAGTGGGGAGAGGGGAGAACGGGGCGAGCTGGATTAAGTGGGGTTTAACATCCCCAACCTGATGGGCACTGAAATATTATCTTCATAAACTTTGAATTCATCTACAAGTTCTGCCATCTAACTTGGCTGGCCCTGACTTACTCAATCTGAAATTTAGGTGCAGCCAGGAGGAATGATTGGGCTTTGAGACCTCTGTGAAAATCATGTGTTTAAAGAACTGACATGCTGCTTGTAAAACATGCACACCGTTTACATTACATCTCCTCCCTTACGGCTTCCTAACCAGCTGTGGCCCCACATCTCAGCTAGGGCTTCATGATGTACAGCCTCTATTAATCAGACAGTTAGCAATCAATTAAAGCTAAAACAAATGAGCAGAGAATATGAAGATCAAACCTAACCATAACTCACAAAAAGCCATTGTTAATGATCATAGATCTGTGAGATGAGAAAATCATTATTAATTAAGACCTGACATAATGCGTTTTGATAAAGCATGCTGGACTGCTTTAAGATGCGAAAGAATCTCATTGATTGGCCTCGTATAACAAACATTATGTATTTCTAACTTTTAATAAATGAGCACTACATTTCTTAGGCGTCTAAACAAGATAAACATCAGTTATGATTTTAGTCTCAATGTTTCATACCCTGACTCATTTATATCAACACAAACCTCTAAGCACCCAACATCTTTATATGTTCATATTGTTAACCTTCATACCTGCTTAGTCTATAAGCTTGGTGTTTATAATAATCTTTGATCGGAAAGGCTTTTTACTTAATCCTTTTACTTTTTTGTTAAAAATATTTCTTAACCTAAATTTTTATAACTTCTAATCCCTGTAGTCACTATAAACTTAATTATTCCTGAATGTGAACAGCGACACACAAATGTACATAGAAACATGTGCAAGAGTTCACCGTCTGGAACATGTTAACAGATGTAATGAGACTTCCTGGTTGTGACAGCTGTGCCACCTAAGCGGGTCGTTATGTGCTTAATCAGTCTTCTCTCATTAACATAAATGACTATGGGTTGTGATCGTTCTGCTGCTATGATGGAAAACAATAATATCCCAATGCTCACTGCGAGTCCCTAGGCATGTGTTTGGCAATTTGTCAGTACCTCACTGAAGGACTAATGATGAAAGATCTATGGAAAACTTAATTCAGCTGTGCTGCAATAATTAGAAAATTTTCATTGAAGTCTAAACCAACCCTAAGTCTCAAAGTGCATGATAAAGTTAGGAAAAATAGTACATTGCCTACTGTATGTACAGCCTTGCAAAAATGATTCATTATTTGTGTTGGACAAACAAAAATGAGAGGATTCTTTTAAATAGGAAGTAAAAGGAAAAAATGTCTTTCCTGCAATTTTAAGCAATTTAAAATCTAAAAAAAGTATTCAGCCCCTTCAGATTCTGATACTCCTTATAAAAATATCTTCCAACCAACTACCTTCCTACTGTAGGTCAGCTGTTTAGAAAAAAAAGTCCCCCTAAGTGTAAGTTCAGTTTCTGTGCTGAAACAGTTTCTTTGTGAAGGCCTCGGTGGTTTGCTAAAGACCTTTAATGAACACCAGTATTATTCACACTGTGGAACAAAGCAGAGAAATCAAATTAAAGTTAATGTTACAACTGAGGTAGAAATGTGCTGTTTTTTTGTTATGTTTGAATATGCAAATTTCAGTGTACGGTCTCCTCAGGATTGGTTACCTGGAGGCAATGATGTATAAAGAGAATCCGCTGAGGACTGCCTGGCATTCATCCTTTGCTCATCCCAACCAGCCTCACCTGTTAATTTTTCTACCTGTCTCAGTTTGAAATATCTTAAAGGTGTTTGTAAAGTTTGACCCTGCCTTTCTCCTGTAGACATTATCCAGTACTTGACCACATCAACCACAAAATGGCCAAAACTGGAGCATTTTATGTTAGGAAGACAAAGATATTACACATCACAACCAGCACACTGTTCCTATAAAATTCAGCTTCTTTAAGGAAACCTGCAAAAGACTTGACATCTGGATGGAGGAGGGCAGAACCATAACCTTAGACATACAGCTAGTTTTACACTAGAATGGATTAGATCCATGTATATTTATAAATAAGAATGAAGAGTAAAAGGGTATGATCATTTAAGAATCCAGATAAATAATGAAAAATTATATGGGCTATAAAAAAATGCAGATTTAATATGTGGGTGTGTTGTTGATCCACAAAGGTCCAAATAATAACACAAACACAGATAAAAAAAAAGAAACATATAAAAAAGAGAAAACTGATAATACTTAATATTGTTAATAGTACACTTAACATAAGTATTTCAAAGTACTATTAAAAAATTATAAGAAATTCATTTCTTATTCATTTATAATTTAAAAAAATCATAAAATCTTGAAAAAAGCTGACTTTGTCTGCTCTTAACTTCCCCAACAGAAAAGGATCTACATTCAGATTTAGTGTGAGATAAAGCTCAACCTAGACCTGGATTTATCTTCACTACTCACAGCACCCTTTTTACGCAATATACTGCTGATATTCTTTTTTTATTTGTTTTAATTGCATGTAGTATTGCTTCCTGCTGCATTAATTTGTTTTGCCTGCAAAGACATCTCTTTCACTCTTAAATATTATGCTGCTGTTATTTCTGAACATCCAAATATATTTTATTAATTGTACCTATGCTTCTCTTTGGCCACAAACACCACAGAAATGTTTGCCTCCAAATTTCTGCATGTCTTTTAATCCTGCTAAACATAGATACTAAATCTGCAACCTTAAGTTATTTTAGGTTTATTAATTACTCCTTCGGGTGGTAAGTATTAACAGCTGCATTCCCCTCACCCATAAATTTACGTGGTTTGATCATTTCAGTTTTATGTTCATATACATTAATGCATACATGTTGTTTCCCTCGATTTACAAACACCACCGCTTTGCCTAACCTAAAAAGTTTGCAGGTTTTAATACATAGTTTTAATATAGTTTGACCAAGTTTGAGTTATTTGGAAAAAAAGAACGATCAAAATTGTTATTGTGTAGAGTTAATAGAACAGTACTCTTTTACATTCAAAGCTGAAAAAGCACTGAAAAGTAGGGATGCACGATATTGGGATTTTGGCCGATATCCAATATGCCGATATTTTAAAACTCATGTAGCCGATAACCAATGTCGATACCGATGTTAAAACTGGACAAAAATAAGTAGTCATTGAAAATAGCAGTTTTGTTATCCATTTCTGACATTTTGCAAATTCTTGTGAGATTTTGTTAGTAAAATAGATCAATACCGCGTCAATATATCAACATATAAAAATATGGCAAAATTTTGTGAATTTTCGGGGATTTCGTAGCACAACGATGACATATAGCAATATTTCATTAGTAAAAGAGATTGATATGGTGTTTTTAAATGGCAATTTATCAGCATATGAAGATATTGTGATATTTTAATGTATCAATATTTTTTCCCTCTTCTTTAGAAGGTTTAAGTCTGTAAAAAAGAAGTTTTTGAGGAAGAAGAAGAAGTAGTATTTTTTAGACTTTAGAAACTCAGCAGCTGATCAAATATCGTGTTAAATATCGGTGGGGTGGCCGATGTCCGATATTCAGTTTTAAGGCCGATACAGGCCGATACCGATAGGGGCCGATTATATCGTGCATCCCTACTGAAAAGTATTTTACTATCTGAATTTTGATAAAATTTTATATATTTCCACTAGAGTTGCACCGATACCAGTATCTGTAGGGGCCCCAATACTGCACTAAAATGGTGGTATCGATATCTGCGAGTAGCAACAAATAGAGCAACGATACCATTTTGAGAGCCAAAAGTTTATTTAACCATTGTCATCCATTCCAGGTAGGCAATAAAAGGTTCTACTGGATTCACTTTGTATTAGTCTTTTTCTGCTTCACAAAGGTAGGCAGCAGCTTGACAAAGCCATGATGGCATTTATTTTACATCCAAGTAGTATGCAGTTCTTCATATATACAAACACACATCAATCTCAAACAGATGGTATCGGTATAGTAACGTATCAGCCGATACTGCACAGCCAGGTATCGGTTATCGGTATTGAGGCCAAAAAATGGCATCGGCACGACACCACTTTCTACATGATTTCTCTGTTTTGACAAATACTAGATACAAGTTAGTTCCAAAATTTCTAATTTCAAATCACTCAGAATTTGACTCTTTGAATTTACATGTAACATGTAATACATATAATCAGTCAGCCAGCTTACCTCAATTCCATCAACTTCATGGATGAACCGATAGCTCACTGACTGTAGTGCTTCAGTTGTCCAGGGATGAAACCAGTTGATGGTTGTACAGTTAATAAGGGCCGGGAACCGATGGGCCCTGACACGTAGGTTACTGCCCGTTGGAGATGAACACAGTATGACCTGCAAACAAGAATCTAAACATCTGAGTATGTGTTTTACTAAGTTTCTATGTGATATATATAATCTATAGCACATACAGGAACTGGAAATTACTGGTTACCTTCTCCGAATTTACCAGGTACCTTCAAGCAACATTTTGAAATTTACTGGATACCTTTATGGAGTTTAATGGGACTTGGTTACAACATGAGGTCAGATGTAATTGGGTGTTTACCCAGAAATTACTAGGCATTTACCAAAACTTGCCAGTTATTTTCCTGGAACTCTGATGTAGTTATCTGGTCACTCTGCCATACATTATTGGTTATATCAAGGAAATGAGCAAGCCGAGTATTTGGTAAGCTCTGAGAAAGTTATCATCATGTTTAATTGATAAATCAGGTCAATATTTATTGAACCTGTAAGCTCCTGTAGTTCATCTTTAAGTTCTATAAAATGACCTCCAAGTTCCCAGTTATAACTTAAATATTGTGGTATATTTGTGGAATATAATTCTTTGAAAAACTGAACCTTTGCCTTTTTTTTTTTTCTATAATCATTGTTGTGTTTGCCAGATCAGTGAGCACCACTGTGTCCTTCTTGTGAGTCCTGAGTATGAATCCTGACCTGGTTCTGCTTTGCATTGAGGTTGTTCCCTCTTAACTGCCCTTAGGGAATCAGTGGATGTATGCCTCTATGATGCCCTATAATGGGCCAATAACCTGTCTAAAGTGTGCTCTCCGGGTCAAGAAATGATTACTAGACTTAGACACCAGCCCTCTTCTTTCTTCTAATTGTGAGAATGTTGGATAATTGATAATATATCCGTTACCACAACATTTTAGAGAATATCTTCACCGTAAGTTGTTGCTGCACTCGTTGTGTAAAGAATCTCCAGCAGTTCTCCCTGTCATCCAGCAGTCCGAAACTGCGCACCTCTCGCTTCAAACTGGAAACAACATGTTCGACCAGTTCTTCATTGAAGATCTCTGGAATTTCACCTTACAAAAAGAAAATCAAAATGATATACTGTGATTAATTACTTCTACTTTAAAGTAAAACTATGTAAAAGGGAGAAATATATTTGTGCTCTTCAAGTTGAAAAAATGCCATGGATTTTAGATCTGACCTGATGCTAGAAAGTGGTTAATAAGGACTAGAAACCGATCATCGGGTATCTGTGCATCCGTCAGGAGCAAAGTCACACGCTTATTCTTCACTCCAGCCTTTAGAATTAATCCTGCAAGATCTACCTGAAAATAATAATCAAATGAAGCCAAACCACACAAGCAAAGGTTGTGGTTTTCAATGTAATGTAAAATCCACTAGAAAATTAGGCTGTTTAATAACCAATTGAACAGAGAATAGATTCCACTTTTAAGTAATTAATGACTGGACTGAAAGACGTATAGCACTGGTGAGATATTAAAATACTTCAATGTGGCTCTTAATTGTATTTGACATTTTTTTTCTTGCTCCACTAAAGAAGCTAAACAATAACAAATTACATTAACAAACTGAAGCTGAGCAAAAAGAGTTAAATCAATTAAATTGATGCAGACAATAAGCAAACAGGGTTTTAATAAACATCTATACAGATCCTTCCTGTGCATCTAGTAACCATAACTAAAAAATAGATTTTTAGAGTAGCATAGATTTACCTTGAAGTCTTGGATGCTATAACCCTTTCTCTGCATTATTTGGGAGACTTCCACAGAACACATGTAGGCAGCTAGGCGAGTCAGACTCTGCTTTCCACTGCCCCCAACCCCGACCAGTAAGCCATGACTCCCTGGCGCCTCTAAGATACGACTGATGCGACATCTGATGACAACATGATCCGTGTTAAGCCTCTTAAGACATGTTCCACCACATTTATCATTATGTGCTAATGTCATTTATAATGTAATTAAATCACATTTTATCAAGCTTATCATGTTAACTACAAATAATGTAATAATAAGTCTTACTCACACATGCTGTATGGCATCATCAAACAACACAAGATTCATGGCTGGATAGAGCTCATTGTAACTTTCCAAGGCTTCATTGAGGATGGTCCTTAGTGTGGACCAGTTAGTGAGAGGGTTATAGGAATGTCCTCTGTCAATGTTTGCAAAGTGGCAGTAGAGTAAGGGCTGCTTGTTCACCTTTTCACTATCCAGTCCCTGTAGAAAGAATAACTTAGATTTTTCTCAAATAGGATGGCCATCTGCAGGTAAACAGCTGTGGTTTATCGCATTAATCAGAATCTTCAACACACCTCAAAGCATTCACGCACAGTCTCCATTTGGATCTTTTGGAAAAGCTTGAGGTCCTTCAGATCTACTAGTCTGTCTGAGTACACTCTGCAGGACTCATGGAGCCACAATCCCACCAGGTCGGTCCTTTCCCTCACCGTTTCTGGACCAGCCAAAAGAATGCCCTACATAAAAAGCATCCCATTCTTATTCTATGAACAACTCAAGGACAGGCATTATTTCCTTATAGCATACGCTCTACCTGAAAGATGTTAGATATGTCTCGAAGATTGAACACATAGTGAAACTTGACTGCTGAAGGCAGAAAACTATGAAGCATCTTGTCATTCAGAGTTGTGACAGCCCGAACAACAGAAGAAGCGCTTTGCTGGACTGAGTGAGTGAAAGCTCCTTGTTTTAAATGGCCACACAAAATATGACCATAAATTGATGCCTGAGACTCCAACGAAGGGAAGTTTACTGCAAAAACTGAGAAATGTCTCTGTTGGAAGAGAAGAGACAATTGAGAAATAAAATGTATGGCACTGCATACACTATATGCAACTGCAATATAAATAATAAAATAGATGCATTTAAAACATATCTGGACAAGAGATATGCATAATCATTAACAAGCAAAACTATTTGCTCACTTTGTATTAAAACCTTGAACGATCTGTTTTAAAGTCAATCTGTTTTTTTGTTTTGTTTTGTTTTTTTAGGAAACAACACATTTTTACTTAAAATATAAAGTTAAGATCAGTTCACATTAGGGGGTGTTCTTTTTTAAACATACCTGCAACCTGGGGTTGATGATGAAGCTCCCAGCTGTTGGATTCATGCAAGCAACATATTGGGTATTTTGAACTTCCTTTAAAGTCAGTTTCTGTCTGCAGTACCTACAGTACAGAGGGCAGAAAGAATCATAGCGTGAATAATATTTGAAAATTATCCACATACAGCCTTAATGATTTCCCACATTATACATACAGTACTACATGTTTCTGTTACTGAAAGTCGGTCAGTTCTGAAAAGATTTCTGCAATATTTTATCAATAAGTCTAGCAAAATAAATTTTGTGAATTTGTCTAAACCTAATGATGGATGTATTAAAATGTGATGTTGTAAATACAGACTGTTTGACTGGACAATATTTAAAATCTGTATGTGCAGAGGCCTTTTCTCACCAGTGTCCATAATCAAGATGCTGACGTATCAGTGCATGAGGCTGCACTGTTCCATAGCTGTCCACAGCTGGGATGTTCATGTCATCTATAAAATAGACCAGCCTCTTGTTGCCTGCAGCTGCATAGGTTCTTCCTGCTCTTTTCTCCAATGGTCGCTCTAAAATCTCTGCACCAATAGAAAACTGGCGTAAACACAGCTTGCAAATATAGGGAAAAATAAATATACTGACTTGCAAAACAAGAAAAAAAAATTCTAATTTCTAGTATTTTTGTCATGTTAAAACCTCAAGTTATAATGAGCTTTAATGTGATTTTTTTTTGATAGATACAAGTAAATAATTAATGTGTATTAAAACAAAAGGAGACAATGTTTTAGTATAATAAAACATCAATAAAGAGTTTTTAAACCAGAAATCATTATTTACATTTAGCCATCTTTCCTCTGACCCCAATAAATAAAATTAAATGTAGAATATTAAAAAGTGACATATGGCTGATGGCTAATTTCAGTATAAATCCAGGAGTTCAAAAAAGGCCTAAAAAAGAGGTTAAACATTTTTAGAATTATTTTGAGGAAGTGTAGAGAGTGTATAGAGAGTGTATGGAGAGTGTAAATAAAGATAAATAAATGAATACATGTATCAAAAACACCTGAATTATTGTATACTTTTTAACATGAGGACCAAGAAACACACCAGACAGGTCAATGAAAAAGTAAAAAAAAGAGTAAATCATTGCCAAGTTACAAAAAATATCCAGGCATTTAATTTTTTATGGAGCACAGCTCAGTTCAAGTAAACAAAATAGGACTTTTTATTGGCTCAGTACTATGAAAGGCCAGCCTAAACCTAAACTGAAAGCCCAGGCAAAATGAGTATCACTTAGATACACTGAAAAAATGAATGCAACCACTTTTGGCATTTATTAAATCATATTTAGTTACTATAACACAATTAACTAACACAATTAAAAAATTAACATGAAACAATTGTGTTAAAGTAACTATATATGATTAAATAAATGCCGAAAACGGTTGCAGTATTTTTTTTTTTTCAGTGTATGCAGCCCGGCTGCACACAATGTTTCTAATGAAGCTCCAGAGATCCACATCTCAAGTGCTAGAATCTGTTAACAGGAGAAGAAAAGCCAGAAGAAGTCCTGTTTGCAGTTTGCCACAAGTCATGTAGGCAATACAGCTGATAAGTGGAAGACAATCCTTAGGGTGGGAGCACTCCAAAGTTACACTTTTGGGCCAATGTGTAAAATGTTATTTGGTGGGAGCACTATTTCTATAGTAGGTACAGGAGACCTGGTTAGAGTTATCAGAAAGATGAAGGTAAAAACATAAATATTGTGAAAGAAAACCTGTTGGCGTTGAAGATGTTCACTTTCTAAAATGACAACAATCATATCCACAAAGCTAGAGCTACAAATAATGATTGGGATCAAAGGAAACTCATGTTAGAATGGCATAGTGAAGGTTCACACCCTAATAGAATTAAGGAACTGTTATTTCCTTGACAATTATTTCTTTGACAGTAGTTTGTGTTGTCCATCTCATAAAATACTGATGAAATACACAGAAGGTGGTGTTGTACAGTGATGAAGGTGAAGGTGAAGAAATTGAAGACACCTGAATACCCTTGCAAGACATCGTAAAATTTAACATCTAAGCTCTAAAGATGCAGGAATCTGTGAAAAAAAATCCAAGAGAGTGAAATTCACCCAGCTATTCCCTTTTAGAATCTAAGCACCACCACCAGATGGTGCTATAGCGTACTTGATGTCCTAACGTCTACCACGGATGAAAATCAAAAACCCACTCACCTTGCAACATGAGGGAGGTTGTGTAGTAGCTGAAGGGTACTTTTGCGGTTGTGCAACTCTCTGACAGAGCATCTAACTTGTTTTTGACAAGTGCAGTCTTTCCCACTCCAGCTTTCCCCACAAGCATCACTGGCTGCCTCTTCTCCAGCAACAAGTCCATGAAGTAGCTAAGACGCACAGTCTCTGCTGTGTGCACCACAACAGCCTACAATCAGGGGAACAGCAGGAAGACGGAGAACAGAAACATACATGGTTATTACGGCTTTCTTTGAGTGTGATTTATTGACAGACATGTGTTCAGTGAATTGTATGTGATTTATAATTTCTTGGATTTCCCCAGAACACCACAACTATTCTGTCATAATAGCATCATTTGCTCAGAACAAAACCCCGCTAATTACGGCTCAGCAAGAGCCTTTGGAGCGCACACAGCTGTACACAGGAGCATAAAGAAAGACAAAGGAGCGTGGGTGATAGCTCAAGTCTTGTTGCTCATGCCTTCACCCCCACACGCTCCAGTACAGGGAGTGGTAGATGGTAATCAGACTCAGTGGCAAGTCTATCATCCATTCTAGCACCCCTGCCATAACCCCATGATGTGACTTTACCCTCTCTTATTATGTTCATTGAAGCATACAAACATTTTTAATATCCCTGCATTGTTCATTTTTGGTTATTTTGCTTCTTGTGATTATTTGTCAGAACCCCTTCAAAAGTTTGCTTTCTCACTGAGTTTCCTTCTCTTTAAAACTTACTGGAGTTTATTAGTTCTTACCTGTAGTGGTACACCGCTTTCCATTTCAAAGCTTGGTACAATATCAGCCCAGGGTAGGAATCGTTTGGTGTGGTGGTCGAGGTAGTAGTCGAACACTGTCCCTTGGGTGGGCAGCTTAACTGTCCTCATTTCTTTGGTCCACCACTGGCTGAACTTCAAGGGGTAATCATGCAGCTGGCAATGCATAAAAAATGAACGCACATTAATATGCTGGCTTTCTGTATGAAAAATGAAACAAAAATCTTCTGCTTAAACTCTCACTCATATATCTATAACTATCTCTCTCTCTCTCTCTCTCTATATATATATATATATATATATAAAACACCTTTATCATGAGTTGCAGCCCACTCTGAGTGTATTTAGTAAATTATTGGGTATTTACTTTAATTAACTCTAAACTTGTCAGTCACCTGGTCTTTATAGAGGGCTCCCCCGAAAGCCCAAATGCAAGCAAAGGTAAAATATGTCTCATAGATGTCACGAGGGGACTCAGCAGGAACATTTTCCAGAGTTAAAAGGCAGTCGAGCAAAGTGCAGAGTGTCTGAATAAAAAATAAATTAATATAATATGTCATTTTCATCACTTAAGATTTGCAAATATGAATAAATAGAAATAGGTTTGGTTCTTTTTCACCTGCACCAAGGAGCTCTCTGGTATAGGAGTTATGGTTTTAAATGTGTTTTTCATCTGGTCAAGACAACGGGGAACATATTTCTCAAAAAGTATCATCAGGTGAGCCCTTTCTGTCTGCCGTTCGCGCTTGTCAATCCAACTTGAAACGTACCTGAGAAACAACCAGTATGCACAATGCAGGCTTAAATAAATATTGAAATACATCAGATCATACTGCAGGGAAATATTAGGAAAATTGAGATAGGAGAATAGATCTGTGTAACTCACGGGTTCCAGCCCAAGTCCTGCTGGTTAACATAAAGGATCCCCGCTCTAGAGATGGTGGCAGGCGTTGCCATCCGAAGGTGACTAATTTCAAACATCAACCTCATGGATGGGGTAAGCGCCACACGCTCATTACTGGCTAGGGTCAGGACCTAAACATTTTTATAACCGTTACATTCCCAAACATCACAATGGAGGCTCCACCTAAGCAAGTGTTTAAAAATAGATTTCAATTCAATTCAGTTTATTTATATAGCGCCAAATTCACAACACATGTCATCTCAAGGCACTTTACAGTTCAACCAGATCATACAGTCAAATTGATACAAAGTTTTCTATCTAAGGAAAACCAGTTGATTGCATTGACTCATTGACTCAAATACAATCCCCCACACTAAGCATGCTTGTAGCGACAGTGGAGAGGAAAAACTCCCTTTTAACAGGAAGAAACCTCCAGCAGAACCAGGCTCAGTGTGAGCGGCCATCTGCCGAGGCCGACTGGGGTTCAAGGAGACAGAAGCAGAGATACAAAAAGCAGCTGTAAAAGGCGGCCCCGTCCAGGAAACACACAGCCAGGCAGACGAGCTCCAAGGCAGCTCCCATGCCAGAGGACGAAGAGAGCACATCCACTCAGTCACGGTCAGAGAAACAGGACCACACTGGAAAACAGGCCGATCTCCAACATCTATTAACAAGGGTGTTGATAGAAGCAGCACAGCTGATGTTTTTTCCAGGATGACGTCACAGCCAAACAGGAACAGACGAGGCAAAGCTACTCTGAGGAAAAGCAGAGAGAGCAGAAGGTTAGAGATTGAACTAACAGATTCTGCAGAATAGGAGAACAGAGAGAGAATGAAGCAGAATGATGAAATGGGGGTCCCTATGTCCTCCAAAAGTCTAAGCCTATAGCAGCATAACTATAGAGATAGCTCAGGATAACCTGAGCCACCCTAACTATAAGCTTTATCAAAAATGAAAGTTTTAAGCCTAGCCTTAAAAGTAGACAGGGTGTCTGCCTCTCGGACTAAAACTGGTAGTTGGTTCCACAGGAGAGGAGCCTGATAACTAAAAGATCTGCCTCCCATTCTACTTTTAGAAATTCTAGGAACCACTAGTAAACCTGCAGATTGAGAGCGAAGTGCTCTGTTAGGAACATAAGGAACAATCAGATCTCTGATATAAGATGGAGCTTGGCCATTTAAGGCTTTATATGTGAGAAGGAGGATTTTAAATTCTATTCTTGATTTAACAGGAAGCCAATGAAGAGAAGCCAGGATAGGAGAGATATGATCTCTCTTTTTCATTTTCATTAGAACTCTGGCTGCAGCATTTTGGATCAGCTGAAGGCTTTTAACTACAGTTTGTGGACTTCCTGATAGTAAAGAATTACAATAGTCCAGCCTTGAAGTAACAAATGCATGGACTAGTTTCTCAGCATCACCCCTGGACAGGATATTTCTAATTTTTGCAATGTTCCTCAGATGAAAGAAGGAAATTCTAGAAACCTCTTTGATATGGGATTTAAATGACAGGTCCTGATCAAAAATAACACCAAGATTTTTTACTTTATTATCTGAAATCAGTTTAATCCCATCCAAATGAAGTGACTGGCTAATCAGTTTCTTTTTCAGAGACTCTGGTCCAAAGACTATAACTTCTGTTTTGTCTGCATTCAGAAGCAGAAAATTAAGAGTCATCCAGGTTTTTATGTCTTCAAGACATGCCTGTAATCTATGTAATGGGTTAGCTTCATCTGGATTTATAGACAGATATAGCTGGGTATCATCAGCATAACAGTGGAAATTAATCCCATGCTGTCTAATAATTCTACCAATTGGGAGCATGTATAAAGTAAAGAGAATTGGTCCTAGCACTGATCCCTGTGGTACTCCACAGGTAACCTTTGAGCGTGTTGAAGATCTATCATTAACATGAACAAACTGAATTCGATCAGATAGATAAGATTTAAACCAGTCTAGTGCTGTTCCTTTAATTCCAACAAAATATTCAAGTCTTTCTAAAAGAATATTATGGTCAACTGTATCAAATGCAGCACTAAGATCCAACAGGACGAGCACAGATACAAGTCCATTATCTGAGGCCATGAGAATATCATTAGTGACTTTCACCAGAGCTGTTTCAGTGCTATGATGAGCTCTAAAGCCAGACTGAAACTCTTCAAAAAGTTCATTATGGTGGAAGTGATCGCAAACTTGTTTGGCAACTACTTTCTCAAGAATTTTGGATAAGAAAGGAAGATTGGATATAGGTCTATAATTGACCAAGTCATCTGGGTCAAGAGACGGTTTCTTAAGCAGAGGTTTAATTACAGCAATCTTAAAAGCTTTAGGTACATATCCCTGTAACAGAGATAGATTAATCACATCTAAAATGGAGGAGGAGATCAAAGGGAATACCTCCTTAAATAACCTGGTTGGAACTGGATCTAACATACAAGTTGAAGGCTTAGATGAAGACAATAATTTTGCTAATTCAGAGAGTTCAACTGGATCAAAGCAGTCTAAACCCGGTTCAGATTCCATGACTACCTCAGGTACAATCGCGGATAGAGGAGTGCTTATGATCTTATTTTTAATAAGATCAATCTTATTTATAAAGAATCCCATAAAATCATTGCTGCTAAGAGCAGGTGGAATGGACGGTTCAACAGAGCTATGGCTCTGGGTGAGTTTGGCAACTGTATTAAAAAGAAATCTAGGATTATTCTTATTCTCCTCTATTAATGAGGAGAAGTATGCTGCTCTTGCTTTACAAAGGGTCCTCTTATACAGCAGTAAACCATTTTTCCAGACTAGGAAGGACTCTCGCAGGCCTGTGGAGCGATATTTTCTCTCCAGTTTCCTAGCATTTTGCTTCAAAGTACGCAGCTCTGCATTAAACCAAGGAGCAAGCTTTCTATTTTTAACGGTTTTCATTTTCAAAGGAGCTGCGTTGTCTAAGGCAATACGCAGAGAACTAGCAACCCCCTCAACAAAATCATCAACCTGTGAAGGGGAATAAGCTAAGCTTTTGCACTCTGCAGCACTGCTCAGTGACACAGAGCAGAGAGAAAGTGAAGCAGATTCTTTAAAATTTATAACTGCACTATCTGATAAAGATCTACTAAAATTGAACCTTCTTTTGGGGGAGGAGAACTCTGTTAAAGTAATCCTGAAGGTTATTAGAAAGTGGTCAGAGAGGACAGGGTTGTGAGGAAATACTGTTATTTCTTCACATTCTATGCCGTATGTCAGCACAAGATCCAAAGTATGAAGATGAGAATGCGTGGGACTATTCACATTTTGAACAAAGCCAATAGTGTCTAAGATAGCATTAAAGGCTGCTCTTAAGCTATCGCCTTCAATGTCAGCATGGATGTTAAAATCTCCCACTATGATGACCCTGTCAGTATTTAATACCAAATCAGAAAGGAACTCTGAAAACTCATCTAAAAATTCAGAGTAAGGACCTGGTGGACGATACAAAGTTACAAAAAGAAGAGGTTTTCTTGCCTTGAAATTTGGATCAGGGAGATTAAGGGTTAAATGTTCAAAAGAGTTGTAGGAATTAATTGTTTTGGGAGTAATCAGTAAGTCAGACTCGAAGATTGTTGCTACTCCTCCTCCTCGCCCAGAACTTCTGGGGATGTGAAAATTTAAATAGCTTGAAGGAGTTGCCTCATTTATGCTCACATAATCCTCTTGCTGCAGCCAGGTTTCTGTAAGGCAAAACAAGTCAATGTGATTATCACAAATCAAGTCATTAACTAGTAGACTTTTAGAGGAAAGCGATCTTATGTTAAACAGACCGCATTTAATTGTTTTAACTTTTTCCCCAATTGGAGTTATTTTGATTTTAATTAGATTATCATGATTTACTCCTTTGGGAATCTTTGCTAATTTATTAGATTTTGGTCGTGGGCAAGACACTGTCTGGATGGAGTAAAGAGTGGGTAACAGTAGAGAAGCTGCAGAGATGTGTGTTAAACTACAACTCTGCTTCCTGGTCTGCACCCTGGGTGGTCAGGGTTTTGGAGGACTAATAAATGTGGCCAGATTCCTAGAAAGAAGAGCTGCACCATCCAAAGTGGGATGGATGCCGTCTCTCCGAATCAGACCAGGCTTTCCCCAAAAGGATTGCCAATTATTAATGTAGCCCACGTTGTTTTCAGGGCACCACCTAGACAACCAGCGATTGAATGACGACATGCGGCTAAACATGTCATCACTGGTCAGATCAGGGAGGGGACCAGAGAAAATTACGGAGTCCGACATTTTTTTGGCAAACTTACACACCGAAGCAACACTAATTTTAGTGACCTCCGATCGGCGTAACCGGGTGTCATTACCACCAGCGTGAATAACAATCTTACTGTATTTAACCTTATCCTTAGCCAGTAGTTTCAGGTAGGATTTGATGTCGCCCGTTCTGGCCCCCGGCAAACATTTGACTATGGTCCCTGGTGTCTCTAATGCCACGTTTCTGACTATGGAGCTGCCAATCACCAGAGTGGGCTTCTCAGTGGGTGTGTCACTGAGTGGGGAAAACCGGTTAGAAACGTGAACGGGTTGGTGGTGACCAGTGGGCAGAGATCCACGACTACGCTTTCTGCGTACAGTTACCCAATCGCCTGGCTGCTCAGGCACTTTTGGAGGACAGCTACGTGGGGGGCCTACTTCAACAGCCTGAAGCCTGGATTCTAACTCTGACACCCTCGCCTCCAAAGCTACAAAAATACTACACTTATTATACATCCCATTATCACTAAAGGAGGCAGAGGAATAACTGAACATCTGACACAGAGAGCAGGAGAGAGGAGAGGAAGAAGGAAGAGTTGGAAAAGAGTCAAGGGAGGGAGAGAGAGAAGCCATAGCAATGCTAAGCTAGCGCTAGCCTAGGCTAGCTACTTCTTGCTATCAGAAATAAAACCGTGTGAAACTGACAAGTGCTCAGTAGAAAAGTGCAGCAGAAGGTGCTATGTTTTAAAGTAGTCAGTTAGAGTTATTTAGATACAGAGATATCACAGAGAAAATAACTTAACTTCAGATGGAGATCCTCTGAACAGCTGCACACTCAGTTGCACACTCAGTTAATCCAAACAGGAAGTGAACAGGTCCACCAGATGTATAGCTTTTCAAATTAGAAATACTTGTCTAAATATTATTTCAACTGTTAAAGAATCATTCAGAAGATATGTGTGTAGTAAAAGTCAAGGAAGTAAATACTGAAGGAGGGAGGAAGAACCATCTTCTTTCTGTACACATCACCTTGGTTGCAATGTGTTCTACAATAGTGTATGAGTGAACAGGAGGGAGGAACCTTGTTATCATCCATCACTGTGTTGAGTGATTCAATCCACATTGGATCAATGTCTCCATCCAACACAATCCACTTAGGCCCAGGATGGGAGATCTTCGCCTGCTGCCGCATCACTGATGAAAGCAAACCTTGTACAGATATTGAAAGAGCAAAAGAGCAACAGAGGGTGGAAAGGCTGTTTCTATGTACACACACACAAACAAATAACTGTTTCTTCTATCCTTATTTACTTCTCCACATGAAAGACTAATGTCTACATTAAAAAAATTCTGCAAGGTCTGAAGCACCATTCCATTCTTTTCTGTTTGTAGTGAATGAGATTGTTATAAAAATCCTCGTACTCATACCCCTCAGTTCCACTGATGTACCCGTCACAGACCAAGAGCGTTAACCAAGCAAAGCGACTCTCTAGGGTTGGACTCAGATCACATTAGTAGTGCATCATTGCGCTATAGTAGTGAATTAGGCTTTGGCTTTTGAATAGAACAGCAAACCAGTGATGAGTTCATTTTTCCAGTATTTCCAGTGTTTTGCATTCCTGTAATAATCTAATTACATTACCTTTTATTCTTTGGATCTGTCATGGGGTTGAGTTAATCTATTTTGTTTCACAGCTTCTAATTGTTTTTATTTAATGATCACATTTAATAGAGCTGATAATTTACTTTAAGGACAGATTTGTTTACAACATAAATTCCAGAATATGCAATTCAAAGTCTGCACATGTAGTTTTTCTTGACCAGATTCCCTCTGCTTTTCATCAACTGACTTCTTGCCTGAACAGTCTGCTCTGCTTTAGAATGACATGGAGTTTGGGTGGCAAGCAACAGAAATAGCACAGCTGCCTATTGTAGGGAAGGGGACCGCGGCCTGTCTGGGACTCTTCAGAAATGCAAAACAGTGCACCCGGCCATTCTGACTGAATATAATTCTGGTAAACATTTCACTCACATATTTTGTGGAACCGAGGGGTTAGTCTTCTTATCTGGGACAGGGTTGTGGACAGTCTCAGCAGAGACACAAAGAATTTTCTTTCCCAAAACACCACCTCCTGGGGTAAGCTGATGGACATAGTCCCTCCAGAGTGTCCTGGGCTGTCCCCTGAGTCTTATCTTGATGGGACATGCCTACCTCCTGATGCATACACTAGGAGGGCTCTGGAAAAGTTGTCTGAGCTACCTCAGCTGACCCCTCTCAATGTGGAGAGAGCAGCTCTTCTCCAGGCCCTTCCAGATGGCTGAGCTCCTCAAACTATATCTCAGTGTGTACAGCTCTCCTGTGAATGACTGCTTCCACCAAGAAAGGTGTTACAGTCAGGTTGAGGAGGTCCTCAAGGTATTCCATCAATGTCCTCATACTTTATGCGTCTTGTGCACATTGAACTCTTTTTCTCTAGCACAAATCTGTCTTTGAATGAGCTTAGCTCTGTGTCTGCATTTGCGTGGTGCTACCAAGGAGCTCATGATCACTTAACATCTGTGCACTTGGCTGTCCCTTGCTACTTGTAAAATAGAATCTATCATCAAATAATATGGATGGATGGATGGATGGATGGATGGATGGATGGATGGATGGATGGATGGATGGATGGATGGATGGATGGATGGATGGATGGATGGATGGATGGATGGATGGATGGATGGATGGATGGATGGGTTCTGGTTGACAAAGTACTAAATATTGTCAACTGTTTGAAAAATTAGGAGTTTTCAAAAAGAAAACAGGTGGCCTTTATCAGACAACTGAAAAGCTGCAGTCCCCTGTTATTTCTGCACAATAATGCATCTGATACAAAATCGGTGTGAGAATCAACAAAGGAAATGGTATTCAACCTTCTCCCATGGCAGAACTTAGCGTTAAATCCTTAAGAACCAGTGAGGTGAGCTAAGCTGAGGAAAGGAGAACATAAAAAAGGAAACCATGAAGCTGAATTGATGTATATGTAGCGGAGGTGCTAGCAAAAAATTGGAGGGCACTGCGAAATCTACTGGCTGTGAGGAAATATTCAAAGGTGTGGCAATTAATCTGTGCATGGTTAAGAATTTATTGAAGAGAGATCAAGTATAATTTCTGCCATTATTCCTTGGACAACCGTTTTCTTTACCATCTTTCCACTCCCGCGTTGCAGGATGAATGAACCCAAACAGTTCATCTCTGTCAATAGCCTTTGGATTGAGGTCATTCCAGACTGGCTTTCGTCCTAGCTCCATATACGTTTTATAAAGAACTCGTAGGATCTGTAGAAAATGTCAACCAAATATTTTATATCGAAATTACAGAGAGATTTGATTTTCACCACAAATAAGCCAGAAGGTCCTACTTGGCTTTTTCCAGTTCCTGCACTTCCAGTGACAAATACAGAGTGACGCACTGCCAGGAGTTCCTCCAGCTGTACTACCTACCACAAACAAAAATTAAAAAATGTTCAGAATCTTTACATTTTTGTTTTTTTGATAATCTATTGATATAGTGACCAACCTTTAGGACAAACGTTTCCTCAGGTTGTAATCCAAGCTTCACAGTAGATTCTCTGGTGGCCTTTTCAAGTTCAAAGTTTCTCTGTCTCTCAACCTCCAGGCCAGGAAACAGGTCCCCAAGCAGTCCCAGGAAGGCAGTCACATCCTCAGTCACAATTTTTGGCATGTTGAAGTCCCGCAATGCACGCATCAAAATCTTGGAAATAAAATAGCATTCTAAATGAATTCATGCTTGCCTCTCAGTTTACTGTGGTGTGATAGGCACACATATGTCACCTGATCCTCTGGTCTTGTTTTATCTTTTCTTCTGAGACCACCAGCCAGAACCAAAACAGATTTAACAGCACGCAAACCCCAATCATAGTGGTCCTGATTAGCAAAACATACATTTAAACTTTATTAGGAATGATTTCTAAAGCTTTTTTTCTTTTGGTGTTCTTTTTGGTTAAGTTATAGCTTTGAGGAGTACTTTCTATACTTTGTTGTAATCTGATATTTACCTGCTTAGATAGTAACTCTTTGCAGAGATTGTATAGGGTAGTAAACTTCTTGGCTAAAAGCTTAGCACTACGGAAGCCCTCTGCTACCAACATTATTTCACAAATAAGCTGAGTGTCAGGCACCACCATTGCACAGGGTCTGTAAAGGACACAAAAAGTTCTTATATTAAACTGTTAAGATGACAATAAATCATTTAAAGAAGAGAATTTGGTTTATTCTCACCTAAAAAGAGCCTTGAGGTTCTCAGGTAGTTCTGCCCTGCCTGCATATCCCGGGTTCATAGTGATGAAAATCCCAACTGATTTCTTTAAGGCAATATTCTGATTGAGGAACAGGAAACTAAACAGAAACATCAACAGATGTTAAAATAGACACAGTCCTAAGAGATGACTTAGTATAATGGATTTAGCCTCAGCTACTTACGTTTCCTTTTTAGAGCGAATAGCGTCCTGAATAGTTTTGACCTGCACTGCTACAACCGACAGAACGTCCACAGCAATACGGTTGAATTCATCAAAGCAGCCCCATGCACCAGTCTGAGCCAGACCCTTATAGATGTTTCCAATTGACTTATAGAAAACAAGTGAGAAATATTGAAACAAATTTGTAATCCATCTGATACTTGGGAAAAGTACATTTTCAGCAAGTTTGACACATCTATAGGCTGTAATTCTTGACCTTTTTTCTTTGAAACTTAGAATGACTTTATTTAGGAAATTTGACTAAAAGGGGATGGAACCAAAAACATATTTTTAAAGTTTGTTTTAGCATAAAACAACTGAAACATTCTACTTCCCAATTAAATTTGCTTTTTTCTTGTGTACTTCTAAAGAAAACAAATAGACAAAAATTAGGTTTGAGGCTATAAACTATTGAAAAAAAGAATTAAAAAAAAAACATTCAGGAAGAGAAATTACCCATGAAATGCATTGTTGATTTACATTTTTTATGCAGTAGACCCACCTGGTAGTCCATCTGTTCAGAACAGTTAAAGATGTACACCATGACACCCATGGCTCTGCCAAGATCCTTTGTAGTTTCAGTTTTCCCAGTTCCAGCAGGACCTGTTGGAGCTCCACTCATGGTCAGATGGAGTGACTGGGTCAGTGTGATGTAACACCTACAATTAACAGAATAAAGATGTTCAAAATGGCTTTCTGGAATCATATACTGTATGCTGTAAGTGTATGACCTGGCTGAAAGCTAAGAAAACTGTTACCGATCTGTCAGCGGAGTGATGACCAGACGTGAAGTATTACCAACATACTCATATGAGTAAAAGAACTGAGCATCACAGATGTTAATAGTGCATTCCTGCAGTTTCTCGTTCCATCTGTGCCGAAGCTGGGACAGCCAATGGAAGGCCTGAGAGTTGGTGACCTTTGTGCAGACATAAATACACTGCTGCTTTAAACATGAATAGTAAGTGAACAATGGAAAAATGAATTCTAACTTAAATGGATTAAACCATTATTTTGTTATTTATTTGAGTAAACCTTTTGGACAACAAGGCTGCTAACAATGTCTCTAGCATGGACATCAATGGTGCAGACAGTCATGATCTTCTGCCTGTCACCAGGACTCAGCTCACCAAGGAGCATTTCAATGAGTATGTTGAGTTGGATAACCTTTAAGGGAAAGACAGTGAAGCAACAGTAGTAAAAGAAAAACATAATCAAAGTTTAAATTAAAATATAGAAGTGGCACGGCAACTATATATAACAATATTTCAGTCTAGCTCTTTGTGTCATTGGCAGATATTAAATCTAATCAAAACTGTGTCTCAAGAAAATCATTAAAACACATAATAAATGGATTTGTAACTTGTATGTTGTAAGTTATTGAATTTCTTAAGGGAATTCACAGATTTTTTTAAAAGCAACATTCTTGTAGAAACTAGTGCTGCTTTTTCCAGTGGATAAAAAAAACATGGCTTTGTAAAAGAGAGCAGGTAGCCACTTAAAATATTTATTTTCGTTGTAATCTAGATACACAAACAAGTAAATAATTTATACAATTTCCTTCTTATATATTATCAATTCAGTGTCATGTATTCACTTATCTATTAAGGGTAAAATAAATTGTTCATATTAAAGGCATAGAGGAGGATTTCAACATGTTTTTGAAAAGGCCCGCCCTGTCCACTTTTTAAAAAAATGCACAACCTTGTACCCACTCCCGAGAGGGAACACCTTTTAAACATGTGCGAGAGCATGCAAAAGCCCATTACTCCTCGTGCACGCTCTATTTAAATGCTGCTGTTTTCATAGCTCATACAAGCTTACTGTATCTGAATGTCCCCCTAACCCCTAAATCATTATATAGAGCGGGACTATATAATGGACTTTATAGCAAACTCAGTTAAAGTCGTAGGGAAATCATATTTAAATGTCAAATCATTCTGGCTTAAACATGTATAGAACTGTACTCTTTATCAGAAAATATTGGCCCAAAATTTAGAAAATTTCTATAAAAAAAAAAAAAATCTTGTCTTAAAATCTGTGGGATGTTTTTAGCTATCTTATGCAAACTAGTTATTTATACGTCAGACCCTCTCTCCCCCTCTTGCATATTTCTGCTGACCATAGCGTTCCTGGACAGTGTCGTTTCTAAGTCAACAATTTAGTGTTACTTGGTCCCAATGGAATTTCCCATTGGGAACCTACTAGCACTAAGTTGCTAACTGGTTAACAAGATGCTTCCGAGACACCGGCCACAATCAAACGTACTTGTGAACCTTCTGCCACAACAATCCCGCCCTCTTGATAAACAAGCAATCACATTCACTTTATTCACTCGTGTAAAGTCATGCACCACTTGGGAGAATTCGAATCATGCTCTATACCTTTAAGTTCTTTGCTTATGTTACCTGTTTCTTGTTGTAGTCTTTTAACGCTGACTCATATCCTTCCTCCAGTCTTCTAAAAACAAGCTCCATATCATTGTTCCACCAGATCTGTGACCCAGTGAGAGCAACTTGAGCTGGGTAATCCAGAATCCACAGCTCTCTGGGTCTCTCCTCATACACAGACACAGCTTCAGACAGGTGAGCCCTGATACATTTCCTCATCGACTCCTCAAGACGAGTGAGCCATTCTTCCACCTTATTTTTAATTTTTTTTAAACGTTTAAGGAGTTGCATTAGAAACATATTATAAATAATTGACATACCATTGTATTGAATTTTACCTTACCGGTCCATCACAGAAACAATCATTTTGGAACTTTACATACTCTCTCTCTTTGCTATACATGCCCAAAGCATGTTTAGGGTTTGGCAGCACTTCACTGCTGTTAAACTCCAGGTCTGACATGCTGTCAAACAGTTTTGGGAGATAAATGGTAACCTGGAATAAAAAATAAGTAATTCCAAGTTTTGATATACTTAGCATGTCAATAATGAAGACAGTAAGTAACCCCTTTAAGTGAAACAAATTGGATATGAAAGTTTGAACCTTATTACCTTCTTTGGGCGATTCCATTTGGAGAGGATGTCCAACAGGTCTGCAGATGAAACAAAGTAGAAACGTGGAAAGACAAATCTTTTCATTTCCAGATACTCAGCCAAAGCTTTTTCACATAAAGCCAGCCTGTCAGAAAGCATAAGGGACAGTGAGCAGAAAGCTTAAAAAATGTACCCTCGGTTTAAGGAAATAAACAAGCACCTTTTTTGCAGGTCCTCTAACTCCTCAAATAGATGTTGTTTGTTGGTGGCTTCGATAAAATTCTTATTATTAGCACTTTCAAGCATTATCTCCTAAAAGAAAAACATACTTTAAATGTAAAACTTAATGAATTTGATGACTTCAATTATAACATGCATACCTTATATTCAGCATCTATCTTTTGGAATCTTAAGGTGTCGTTAGGAATCTGTTGACAAATATCTTCACAGCTTTTGAAGATGCTTTCCAGATAGACCCATGTTCTTTGAACCTCCATCCAGATACTCAGAACGCAATCAGCCACCATCAGTTGGTGCTGTAGTTCCAGAGCTTGGTCTAAGAAGTGAGCCACATGCTTGCTCTGAACAACATTCTGGAGTTGAATCTTGAAAACAAGAACATAGAGAAATATGGGAAACTAAACTGAAAAATATATTTTCTAGAGTTACTCCAGTAAACCACTCTTTAAAACAATGTATGTCAAGCTCTAGGATGATTACAGTATCTAATACCACTAGAACTAGTTTTTGTTTACCCAACCACCACATGCTTTATTGCATCTTATTCAATATTTAATTTATCATTTATTCAATATAAGACACCAAAAAAAGTCTTTTTTAGAATGTTATTATATTTTAAGATGTGTGTTGTGCATATGTGGTCAGTTACATAGGGCAATGCTTTGCTGAACAACCTTTCAGTGCATCTACAGGTTTTTATCTGTCTTGATCTGTGCTGTATATCTAGAGACTCAACTTGTGGTTTTATTCTCTTTCTAAAACAAATGATGCAAAATAAGATTGGACATAAGGTATTGGTCAATATTAATCTTCAGGTACTGTCAGCATTCCTACGTTCATCTAAACACAACAACATGCCTTGATCTAAAAGTTTCTTTTTGAGCCCCTGCTTTAGGTTAATCTAAGCCTCAAGTCTTTTTTGCCTTCTCATGGGCTGTCATACTCAATCATCTTCTACGTCCCTCAATCCATTAATGATGATGATGATAATGATAACAGTGTTAATATTCCACCCAACATGATGTTTTGCATTTATGATAAAAGCAAAAACTTTGATTCTGATCTCGTTTAACAGGTGTACTTTGTAGCTTAAATGCAATCTTTACAGAACATTGCTTTACAGACTCCTTTTGTGACGTTTGAGCACAATTTATTGCAGAGAATTTGGGATTGTATTCACACTGCCTAAATCTGGTGCCTTTTAAATGGACCAGAGTTGGTTTCTTTCCTTTTTTGAAGCAGTTAAAACACTCAAAAGGGCTACTACAAAACAGATACTGGTGCAACTTGCTTCTGGTGTGAATATGAACCTGACACTTTACAACCAAACCTCCGGATACATAGTGTGCATCTCTCTGAAATTAACCAGCAACCTATGGCCTGAAAATTCTTATGTTATACCTGATCTGCAGTCTGCTGATTTGCATTGCTGCTGTCAACATGCAGAGGGGAGGGGAAGGTGAGTAAATTGTCCACATCAACTTGAAGCGTGCATTCTATGACACCATTCCAAAAAAAAAATTGAACTTGGACAGGGAAAGCTTTGTTTTAAGAGCTGCCCCTGAGAACATAAATTTTGCAGTTGCAATGACAGACCAACTATGAAAGATAGTGGTGAAGCATTAAGGGCTTCTCTGATACAGTAGGTTTCCTGTGTCCTGCCAGAACAGCATACGCTGTCACATCAGCGTGCTATTAGTTTTTATCTAACCTAAATGAATTCAGTCTCAATGTAATCCACAACCAATGTTATTTATGATTTTAAACATGCAAACAAAAATGTAACCAAATTTAAATTCCTGTGCACACATTTTTTACTACTAGAGTAATTTAAATTAAATAAACCAATATGGTTTTAGCTATAGAGGCTTCTTCTCACAACATCCTTGAAACTTCAATCATGTCTGGCTGTTTCTATATTCAAGAAATAACTTCTTACTTATGTATTTTATAAGCTAAAATAAACCTTTTCTTTGCTGGTTGGTACACTGCTGCTAAAATTCAATGTGGGAATAATTTTTCTGTTGCACATGTGCACACATTTGTTTTAGAACATTGGCTGTATCTTACCGCCCACCCTAACCCCTAAATCCCTCAATCACTATATAGAGCAGGGACTATCAGAATCAGAAATACTTAAAAAATACCAGAGGGAAATTACTTTTGTTATACGCTCCAGTTACAGTTTATATGATATATACACACATCCAACTATAGAATATAATAAAGATAAAAAATAATAATAAAAAGAGATAAAATATATACACATATAGCTCTTCCGTATATATATCTGTACGTATATCTATGCATATGTAAAAACTAAATCCAAATAAAGTGAAAATCCAAGTAAAGTGATACCTGGCGTGCAAAAATAGTGCATAAATATTTATATATAAATATATTTATATAGATTGATGACCACAGGTAGGAATGATTTCCTGTGGCGCTCTGTGGTGCATCTGGGTAGGAGGAGTCTTCTGCTGAAGGAGCTCAGGAGCTGAAGGAGGACTATATAGTGGACTTTCTTGTAAACTCAGTTAACTGACCATTCAGATAGATGATCACTACTTTTTGCTCACCGTTGGTCACATAACTCCGCCTCCCTACACGATACCTGCATCATCTTTGTTATTTTTTGCCATTGTTGGGCAGCGACTCCTTATGGTAAAAGCGTGCCGCTGTGACAACAAATACCATAATGCTTTGTGAGGAGAGCTCTCCTCGCAAAGCATTCCAGGATATATCTGCTTGTCTAGCGACCATGGATGATCACTTCTTTTCAAGGTGCATTATGGAAAATTTCGAGTCCACTACTTTTTCATCCACTAGAATTTCAGACACTCATTTAAAAGTGGCGTAACCGCTATATAGTGATTAGGACGGGCATTCGGACACAGCCAATGTATGCCAATCTGACAGCGTATGATATTGTGACAGTCTGTGCACCTACAGGTAGTCATCTTTATCCAAAGGAAGTGATTAAAGTCACTAGTGCGGTTTGATACATGTTACAATTCACCTGCATATAAACCAATCTGAAAGTGAATCACTAAACAAAAACTAAACAAACAAACAAAAACTGCATTTGGTCTGGACCAAAAAAACAGACCAAAGGGTCTTCCTTGTGTGAATAAACCAGTATCCAAAAGTACAAGAGCAAATAAGATTGGATACTTTTACATGTTTTTTTCCAAAGATAATTTAAAAAGGTAAACGGATATGATTTGCAAGGCATAGCCTAAATCCAAAGTTTATCCCTGTACAACCATCTAAACCAAAAAACATAAAAAGAGAAGGTGTCTTATTAAGAATCTCAAATCCATCAGTTTTGTTTTAGAACACATTCCATCTCATCAGCAGGGCAACCCAACCATTTCAGCAACAATTTAGTCACTAAAGTAACAAGCCTTCTAATTGTTGGTAGTAACCCTCTTACACATCTGGTGTTTGTGTTTGAAGATAGCCAAGGAGCAACAATGTTCTACAGCCCCTAGCAGCTATAAATCTGAGGACTCAATAGGCACCCCTGTGCTTTCAGCTGTGTTGTTAAGACATTAAACAGGGTCACAATTCTGCATTCTTAGTTTAAGCACCTAACTACCCGCCCTTCTCTCAGGCAGCTAATCTTGACAACAAGCTATTGTATTTTTCATTCATTACATATTATTTTACTAGGTGAAACCACAAGTAAGGGAGTATAGAAGGTTAAGCATCTACCTGGTGATCCTCTAGCATCACAATAAGGTCCTCGTTACATTTAATTAGTGGCAGAGACGTCTGGTAATGTTCCTCAAACGAAAGCTCCATTGAGGCCCATGTTTGGTTTATTTTTGTTATAATCTGAAAAAAAAAGTAGACATTTTATTAGTGACATTGTGATTACTTAATTAAATATCATTACTAATTTTGCATGGATTGTGAAGCAATATGATAGATACTTGAAGTATTCTAGTAAAAGATTTGTGTCTAATTTCTGATCTACAGTTTGTGCTTTAAAACATTTTGTCATGATCTTGGCACTGATGACTGGCTTAATTACTCATTCCATTTCATTCTGTCTAATTTTTGTCCGGTATGTAATTACCTCTAATCTGATCCACCTGCTCCTACCTCTATTTAAGGTGCAGTCATCAAGGCCAGATTCTCTTGTTCTCTCTAGCTAGTGGTGAGTGTTTTCAGATTTCCTTGGTGTTTCTGTTTTAATGATCCTCGCCTGTTCAGCCTCTTAACCACTGAGCATGTCTGTCCCAGTCTGATCTCAGTGGTGAGAGTGTTTTTAGCTTTACCTTATTGTTTCTGATTACCTGATCCTGAGCTTCCTTCCAACCACCGAGCTTACCTGTTCCTGTTCTCATCTGTTTGCCTGAACTTTCTTTGGAATCCTGGACCTCTGAGCCTTCCTGTTCCTGTTCTGATCTGTTTGCCTGACCCGTCTTGGGACTCCTGCATGTTTTCTGGGACACCTGCAGCATCTTGTAAGCAGCCCACCGGCTGGATCCTAGCTTGTTCTCTGGGCCTGGACTGAACTTGAAATCCGGGTTAGGGACTCACGTGGATAATCTTCCTCTGTTAGATTTACGTGGTCACTAACCTTTGTTTCTCTCCTGTAAAGTTTCCAGCCTCTGTTTTAAATAAATGCTTTTTGAGTTACCCCACTGTCTGTCAGGCCTTGAATACTGGGTCCTCTGTTTTGAGTCTTGACAATTTTGTGTTTATCCAAGTCTGATTTTTCTTGAAGGATTACAAATAACCGCATTTAAGTATTTTTTTTGTAGCCAGCCTGCTGTGAGTGATCACAAGTTAACTAGATCAGATAATACTAAGACAGAATGTGTTTGAGAGCAATTACTGTAAATAAAAGGTTAAAGCAAAGAGTGCATGACTTAAAACAAAGAGCATAATTTCATAAATCGTATTTTTAGTTGTTTAAGCATCCTTAATACACTTGGCAAAATTTGCTCCGTTAGCATGAAAAACTGGGAGCATCAATCTCTGCATGTATATCAATTAGAACATAGATTAGAGCATGTATTTTGATGCATGGCTTACAGGTCATGAAACTCACATTTTAGTGTCTAAGAAAATTTGAATACAGTAAAACAATCGGTTAAAATGTAAAGTGTCACACCCTAATCAAACTGCAAGCTTTTCTGCACCTTTTAACTAGGGCTGGGCAAAAAACTACATTCACATTGTTCACAATTCAACAAAATGCAGTATTCAAATCGCACCAGCACTCATTTTTGATCACATAGCATTTAGCAAGATTGTCACCAACTTCCTCACTACAACTGTTTATTTGGCTAGAGGATGCAAGGAAATAATGCATTATCATTAGTTTAAGTTTGTGGATTAACTATTTACTACTTGCTTTACTTCCTGCTTTTATAATGTTTGTATCTTTGCTTCCTTTTATTCTGCTTAAATATAGCTTCTGTTGTACTGTTTCATTCATGCAAACCCCTTTGCATGATTGAGCATTTTTCCACACAATGGTAACAATAAAATCCAAAGACAATGGACTCGGGATTAGCAAGCTTTCGAGGTCATTAAAATGAAACCTTAGAGTGAAACATCTAAATTCTTACGTTTAGAGGACAAAAAATCTAAGCAAGTTTAGAAATGGCAATTTTGAAATCCTTCAGCCCTATTTTAAATGGTCTCTTATTCTGGGTCAGCTACCTATAAAATAATGGGGTGATTTCTGCCTGGACAGATGTCCATAAGACAGTCATCAACACACTTTGTTGAGAGGGTAACCCACAAATGGTCATTATTAAAGAATCTGGTTGTTCAAAGATCTTTTTATCCAAGTATATTAATAGAAAACTAAGAGGACGTGCACCAGCAGCAGAGAACCTTGAGAGGATTGTCAAAGGCTGTGCAATCAAGAAATCGGGAGAGCTTCAAAAGAAGTGTACTGAGGATGAGTCGGTGCATCAAAAGCCACTATGTACAGACAAATACTAGATATGGGCCACAGATGTAATATTCCTCATGACAAGCCACTCCTGAACCTGAGATAACTTCAAAAGCATCTTACCTAGGCTACATAGAAAAGGAAATATATGACTAGCAGAGCTAATTTGTATCATTCTATTACTAATGTTAAATGTTAATAATATTTAATTTAAGCAGCTGAACTGACTGAGGTAGTGCGTTATTAGTTTTCATACAGTTTGAAGACATTAAGCTGGAGATTGAAAATCTAAAAATCAATTAAACTCTATAAAAAAAAATCTGTATGTCTAATATGTATGATACAATTAATGAGGGGATACTTCTAACCATTATTAAAATAATATAATTTATTTTTTTTTTTCATTTTCTGCGATGGCTGGTAAAAATATATTCTACTTTGATAAAAACACTCAAATTTGTTTAGATGTATCTGAGCCTTTTTTCCCTATTTACCTATATTCAGTCAAGATTACTGCTGTCAGTGTAACCTGGTATTGTTAAAGTATGGTGTTTTCACTGACTCAATTTTTTTTTTCCTGAGTTTCCAAATAGTCAATCACTCTTGAAGCAAGAATTTTTTTCATTCCGACCACCTGCAGAATTCTCATTCTGTATATTCTTAATTCAAATCAATATAAGGTAAATAAGATAACACTAAATTAAGTAGAAATCTTTGATAGTATTTTATGCAGGGTTTTTTTTATTTAGATTTAATAAACGGAAAAAACCTTCTCTGTGGCCATTTCTTTGACAGCCTTATCCACCATATCGCTGATTTCTTCTTCAAACAAATGTAGCTGCAAAGCCAAAAGATCCCCCAGGGTGGTTGTGTCTGTCATAGTGAAGTCAACCTGTTGGAGGACACATATTATTTCTCTCTGTGTGCTTTGTCCAAAGATTTATGTGATGGAAAAATTACTGGCCTATAGCAACACTTCTGCTGCCTGTACTGTATCTCTGCACCTTTGTTATTTTAATCAACTCCAGCCAGTGGCGCTCTCGTATTGCCTGGCTCTGTAGTTGCCTGACAGAATTCAACGCTGTCAACAAGTTTTTTACATGCTTGTCTAATGCGACATACACATCCCACAAGCGTGCATCTTTGTCAAACCTCCGTATGGCCTACAGAAACAGAAGGTTGATACACATAATTTGTTATTAGGGACGTCTGTTACCAATGATAATGATGCATAACTGTAAAACTACAGGAGAGATAAGCTGGTGTGATACAGCACTGCTGGTGACCTCACCCTGGCAAAGCATTTCAAATTGGATTCCATCTGCTCCACATTTATCTTTCTCCAGTTGGTCTTTGTCCAGTTTTTGACAGTGCTCTGTAAAGATGAAAACAAAAACTCACTCAGAGAGGTAAGTAGAATGAAGGTCTTGCGGTAAATTTGTGACACTTAGAGGCTAGACATTCAAAGAATGCTGCTGAAAAGCCAGACAAGACAAATAATCTAGAATTTTGTGGTGAGGTAATTAATACACTGTTCTGATGTAATTCCAGGTCCTTTTAAAAGGCACATTTCAGAAAATAGAACAACTTACCTGCACACATATCACAAGGTCCCAGAGTTCTTTCAGGATAGAGATTTCATGTCGACATAGCTTTACGTCTTTGTAGTCAGGTATCGTTGTATCAAAAAGATGTGCAGACTTTTGGAGCTCTGCTAATTCTCTCTCCATTTCTCGGATAGCTGTTTCTGACTAAAAGCACAAAAAGCAACAGTCATTTGAAATATCCCAAAGAACACTATTCTTTCTACTCCACAGTGGTATGGTTGGGCAGACTTACTTTATCCAGACAAACATAGGGTTGCACCGTATTGTAACTGAAAGGTGCATTTGTGGAGAAGTCTTTCCTGAGTTTGGCTTGTTTTACCTGAAACAAAATGAGTGGTTTGTAAGGTGTTATCTACAATTGTTTTAAACATTATTTTCCACATTAAAGTTTATTTTCTTTCACTGAAGTTGAACTCATTCATTTGTTTGATATCAATAGATTTAATATTGTGAACCCAAATATTATTGTGGTACAACAAAATTTTATTAAAATACCACTTTTTCACAATACCAACACAGAAATAAAAAACAAAACAAAATTGGATTTCAGAATTGACCATTTTTTAAATCAATGTCATAATTTAAAGGACTTTTTGAATATAATGTAACTGCTATAAAATGCTTTGTCACCTCAAAAGCTTTGCATCTTGATTTTAAAACAAGGACTTCTGCCCTTTGCATGGTTGCAATTTCACTCTTCACTTCTACGGTCAGCTTCTTTACTTCATTCCATTTTTCTGGAAGCTCCTGTAAAAATAATTATTCGTTTTTAGTTGTAAAACTGGAATTATTACTGACTGAATTTAAATGACCTCATGCAAATCAAAGACTTCTTCACTAAATAAACAATTTAATATAGGCGCAAACCTCCATTTGAGTATAGCAATATTCCGGTATTTTTACGTCACAATGTTCTAGGAGAACTATTGTCCCTCTCAGAGATTCAAACACTCTGTCAATGGCACCTATTCTTGCTCGGACAGCCAACAGTAGACTCATAATATCTAGAAAGCCTTGGTGATCTTCTTTGACAATTGGACCTGTCAGCCCCTTGACTGCAACTTGGACGGATTCCTGCAGTTCTTCAAGGCTGTGTGGAAAAATGGGCTCATAAAAAAAAACAAAAAACAATATAACAATTAGGCTTAAAGTGAGTAAGTATGCAGGAATAAATTTTACCTGTTGGTCACACATTTTAAGAGGCGCTCTTTGTGAAGCCAGCTCCACTTTTGTATTGTGTTAAGAAGGCTAGCTTTAAAGTACCTGCAGTCCACCCAAAGCCATCCGTCGAACACTCTACTATCTTCCAATTGTGACACTTTAGAATGCAGTTTGTCATAATACTCAACCTGGAATTTAAAGACATGAATTAAAAAACAAGCCCACCATGTAGGGAAGAAACATAAATACTGAAAAATCCTTTACCTCTTGTTTGAAGTCATCAGTGGTAGGCAAGGTTTCAGGGAACACGTTTGCTCTGTAAGGGTCAGTCTCTCTTGCCGCACGATCACGACCACTCATGGAAAACTGCCTGAAGAACTCTTCTCGGTCATTTTGCCATAGGTGTCGGTAGCAATCAAACTCTTTCTGGTAATTTTCAGCTGCTTTAAGGACGCTGCCCACTTTTGCCATTATTTCATGCCGCAGGTGACACAAAACTGGTATGTCATCCATTATATCCTGTAAGCGTTATATCAAAAAGAACTGAATATCAAAGGCAAACAACAGAAAAAATAACAGATTTAACTTTCTATTGCATCTTAGAAAGCTACCTAATTTCTTTGATGGTTAAAGATTAAACGATGCACAAAAATATTATATTTGTAATAAACAGAAGACTTCGAATTATGGTTTAAAGGTTTTGTTTATGTAGCCAGATATTAAATATAGGCAAGACAAAATATCTTATTTTATGCCCTAAACAAGACTTTAAAGTAGAGGTAGTGTCTCTATTAAAACTGTGGCTAATTTCAATATTTTTGGCTCTTTCTGGACAGTAAACCCAGCTTTGCTTAAAGTACTGAAAACATTTTTCACAAATGCTCTTAAAGACTATTTATTTTAAGAAAACGGATCAACCATGGGATTAGTCAATAAACTTTAGAGCATGTTTACGAAGGGATTTTTTTTGTGTTAACTTTTTCTCCCCTTATTTTGTTTCGTCAACTGAACTGTACACTAAAAACTAAACTATTGAAAACAGTTAAAAAGATTGGGTTAACCCAAAAGGTCTCTGTCTAAACCTTCAACTAAAAGAACAAAGGAGACAGCATTTAACATATCAGCAGATAAATGCTATCTTCTTTTCTACCAGTTTAAAGCTTTGAGCTTACAGCAGCAACATAGGGTCATTTTGGCAACTAAAAACAACTATCAAAAGTAATTTTTAACAGTTTAACAACTATTCTTCATCACATAAAATTATGAAATCCAGCTGAGTGTTGTTTGCATTTTTTCTACTCTAAATATGTGTTCAACTTTGTTCGATAAATGCTTTATGCTTTTATGTTTGAAGAGTCGAAACAACATTTTCATCCCCGGTGGAATGTATGTGTGTATGTAAGCTTTAAACCAGAACTATCTATTTTAATTCACCTAAATGCTGAATATAATGTATAACATGTAAACAGAGTACCTGATAGGTATCCATATTAAGATGACCAGCCACTCTCTGTATGTTCACTGAAGACTTGAATATGTCTCCAATCAATTCTTCCACCAGTTCATAGAGACCATCTTCAACATCTCGGTCAATGGAAGGATTGAAACTTAAAACTGAGTCATTCAGAATTAACCTGGTCTCAAACAGAGGAGGTAATGATGGGGACAATTCCATATTGTCCAAAAAGAACTGAAGAGAGTGGAGGATGAACTTGAAGAGCCCTTCAACTACCACCTTGTCTATACATTCCAGGTAGGACTGCCATTCTGTTGAAGCAGGATCAGCGCCGAAGAGGACCATATTCTTCTGATAAAACATAGGAAAAACAAACACATTCTAATGTATTGGATAAGCAGGTTTTTAACAAGACATAATTGTTATGAGTCTGAATAAAATTGTGAAAGGAAAACTCATTCTGATTTAACAGAAGATGTCTCTGAAACATGACTTTATGCTATTAAACATGCTGGTTTTAGTGTCAATCGCAGAAATAATGGATGTCAGTTAACACACCTGTATTAACTGATGAATATGGTCTCCATCCGTCTTCATGGAGCTGTACTTCTTGATCACCTGCTCTTTCCTCCCCTCCAGTTGTATGAGGGAGCCTTTCTTGTCTTGTCTTGTGTACATTGTGGTTTTGCTCCAGCCCTTTATCACTGACTCAATTGTATCAAAGTTTTTCTTGGCTTTGCTGACCCGATATGCAAGGTCTTGAACCAGCTCTTTTGTGCTCTGAACAAAGCTCCAGCAGTCCTGATCCTGCCATGTCAGGCTGGTCTCTGCTTTTGCCAGCTTTGAGTCTACAGAGCCCAAGTCAGCTTTAATGAGGGGACGTTCCATCTCCAGCATCTTAAGATTGTTGTACTGTTGTACTATAAGCCTCAGACAGTCAATACACTTCAAAACAAAACAATTGAGAAAAGATGTGCAGGATTAAAGGCAGCGACTTGCAAAAATAAAAAGGCATCTTGAACTTGAATCCTAATGGGATCACCTTAAGACCTCAAATAACTGTGTAATTATTTGGGGGTTTGAAGTGATACACACAACAACTCATAAATGTTGAAGGTAAAGGAAACTTTTCCAATTTATTACAAAAAAATGTGCCATGCATTTAAATATTTGTTTGGTTTGCTCACTAATGTTCCCTGAAGAAAGGTGAGGTCTGAACACAACAGCTGTAAAGATACTAAAATCAAATTTGACATTCTATTTATTATGACTTGAAGAGACCATTTGTCGTACTACATTTTATTTAGGGTATAGCCATTAAGAGGGTAAAATTGAATGCATACCACATCTTTCAGATTTGTATTTTAAAAAATAACACGTTTGTAAAATAGGCATTGCTGCATTTCAACCACAATTATCTATTGCTTGAGTTGTTTTATGGCATAAAATCCAAAAGCATTAGAGCCTATGGATGTAATGGGACATTAAAAGGTTCAAAGGGTATTAATATTTTTGATACCCCCTACTCAATAAATAAGAGCGATATGTTTCTTGATAATTAACTCAACAAAGCAGCAGCAAATTTCATCTTACCTTCTTGAAAATGTTGTGTTTGTCAAGGACAGCGATCGCAGCTGCAGGGAGGGTGCTCTTTGTGTTTTTATGAATATACAATACGTCCCTTAAGATTTCAGCAAGCTGTGAAGTTATACAAACAAGTGGGGTTTTTTTCTCTTTGCTTATAGCAAAAAACAAACATAGCTAATAAAAAATTCGCACTTTCATGAAATACTGAACACAATCAAGACACAATGTCTATGAAAAGCACATGAAGAGAATCATCACGTTTCAATGCTGTCTTTAATAGCCAATGTCTGATTTTAAACATTTTTAGAAGGTTCTAAGCAATTACAATTGTTGTTGTTGTTATTACATTTTTAAGAGACAGAAATATTATTATCTTGTATCAAGACTTAGAGGGACCTTTTATCATTTACCTCCGGAGTGAAGTTGATTGAGATCAGTTCTGACAATGGATTTCTTGAAATCAGAGGCTGGTTAAGGTTAAATAGACAAGTCTCTTCCAAACCGTTACACCACTCAGCATAAACGTCCTTTTCACGCTCCTCCAAAGAACTCAACAAATCCCTGTACATGCTGTACACATTCACCATCTCCTTAGACTGTGTAGACCTAGAATTATTGCATAAAAGGAGATGCCTATTTGAAGCCCAAATACATCTATAAAGGATCATTTTCACAACTTTTCTTTTTACTGACATGTCAAATAGTAATCTGAATTTTTTCCATGGTGATTCAATGCGTTCTTTAAGCATTTTTGCCCACTTTAAAACTTCAGATGTCGGTGCCACCTGCATGACAGACATAAAGAAAAGCTTAACAAACTGCTTTCTTTGGTAAATTCAATGTGGACTCAACTTTTATGGAGAAAACAAGGGTACCTGATCATTACGAGATTTTATCAGAAAGGCAATATTTTTTAATTCTTCGCTAAACAACTGCTGAAGCAGGATGAAGGATGGACTTAATAACTGTCTGACTGTTCTTCTCTCCAAAATGGGTCTAATGGTCATTAGCATCTGAAATGAAATACAAATGTTTTATAAGCCTTTTATATCACTCATATACATTGTTTTTTAAAATATACAACTAAGTTACTTTTAAGGCTGATTCCAGTCCTGTGGACTCCTTAAAAGCTCCACACTGGAGGTTTGCAAGGCGATGTTCAAAGTCTGAAATTCTTTTGGTAAAAGTCTTATACTCCTCTTCAAAAGCCTTAATAAGAGATAAAAGTTTAAATATAAAGAAACACAATAAATGCATGTATTTTGTCCACTTTTGTTTTTCACAATTTAGATGTGCTTTAAACATTCCCAGCAAAACTAAAAATTATTTGTTTTACCTGAGAGCTGAAGTCAAAAAGATTGCTTTTACTTTGCTTTAATGCTTGGCAGAAGTAGGTGAACTCATTGCCTAGCTTGACTTGCTCAATGTAGACATTTCCTTTAATGCCTCCAAACTCTATTCTTTCCAACCGTTGAAATTCCATGACAGTTTCACACAGGTTCTACAAAGCAACCATTTTACAGGAGTTTATCATAACCACGGAAGCAAAGAACAGGAGCTGAAAGTCAAATTTCAACATAAATGGACGCATGTTCTCACCTTCAGTTCAAGCATACGATTTGTGAATTGGTTGAAGTGTGAAAAAGCAGATGAGAAATCCCAGGGTGGGAATCTCTCCTGCTTTTCTAGCCACTCCTTCTGGATCTGGTAACTCTCTTTGAAGCATCTCAGAACTTTTATCACCTTCTTTATGATTAGCAGATTGTCCTCTGTATCCTCTCTATGCAGCAAATCTTCAGGAAGGTACGCAAAAGTCTACAATAAGATATTTTTACATATTTTATTGCAAGGAATAGCAAAGCAAATACCATTTTTAGGATTTTAACAGGAAAACTTCTACCTGTTCAATGAACAGATTGCAGAGTTCCTGCAGAAGCACTGCAATGCGAGCTGGTTTCTGGTAATACTGACAGTTGGTCCATATAAGGAATACTGTATGAAAAAGTGCAGGAGTGTATTTCTCCATGTCAGGAAAGTGAGTCTTTTCCATTTGGGCTAACTGTACACCTAGTGGCCGTAGATAAAGGTCAACATCTTGGGCTTCTTTAAAGGCTTGTTGTATTGTTTAAGAGAGAAAAATAAACAATGAATTTAAAACACACAAAAAAATTTAGTAGTGAAAGGAATATTATCATAAAGAAATCGGCAACCCTTACCATCAGACACATTTCCAATTAGGGTGTTGATCATTGGATAATAGCTGCTGTCCATCACCTCTAACACAAATGCCATCCTTTCAACAATGGGACTCTGAAGCTTTTAATTCAAAGTCCAGATACTTACTGATGGCTGAATGGTTTTTTGCAAAAATCAGAAGGAGATAAAATCATACCTGGTGTTGAATACCCTCAAGATTCCTCATTCTGGAAGCCCAGAAGCTGATTTCTTCACTGGGCCCTGGGTTAGAGCATGTCTGTAGAAGATCTGATGAGTCCTGTGTTAAGATTTTCTCAATCAGACTGCTCCAACTGATAAAAATGGTCTCAATGTTGTAAACCAATGCCCTCTTGCAGTTGTCACTCCTTTGATGGGAAAATCAACAATCAAAACTTAAGACCAGGGCTCTAATAAAGACCGAGCATCCTGTAAGTGTGTCCTTACATGTTAATTATGTCGTATGAATTTTCCATCCAGCCTGCTGTATATGGGATAGGGAGAACAGTTTTCCCTATAGCCTGGCCTTCAACAACTGATGTCATATGGCACAGCTTCTCCACATTATGACTGATATCCTTAGATAGCACATTTGGCCATGAGGGATGATTTTCGACATCTGTTAGAAGGGGCCCAATTTCCTTGAGCAAGAACAAAGAATAATATATCCATTAAAAAAAAGCTAGCAATATAGTCAACCCATAATGCCTACAGTGTAAACCTATTAGATTTTTTCATACTAAAGCCAAAAATGTCAATGTAAAAGAAGGACTTTATGTGACAGACAAACAAAGAATAGCATATGTGAAGTGAAAGGACAGGTTAAAGGTAAAGGTACTTTAATGTGTCTGGGGCAGTTTTTCTTTTTTTTTAAACAAAAGTTAAGAATCAATATTCTATTTGACTAAATTCCAATTTGGTTATGTTTATTTATATTGACTTTTTTGTTCTGTAATTGCTTTTTTCTGTTATGTGTCAACTACTGTGTAGTCTGTTTAATTTTTACTTATTTATATGCTCAGTACATTCCTGCAGTGCAATAATCCAAGTCAACTACTATGTAGTCTTCCCTTAGCTCTATACTGTGCAGATATTTTTTATAACCAAGGGAAACACATTCCAGAACATTACAACTTTTTGGTACTATATACACTCTTTTTATATAGTCTGTTGTGTTTTTATTTTTAATGGCATTTTGCTTTAAATCTTTTTACTCCATATAAGCTACTGGAATCAGAATTTCTCTGAAGGAGTAATCCCAAGGGATATATAAAGTTGAGTCTAAGTCTTAAGTTATTTGAATTACTATTGTGAATTCATCATTTTCTTTAATGAGAGGTAAACTTTTAAGCACATCTGTATGTTTATAAAGAGGAAATTTGCATTTTCAGGATGCTGGTATCTGGTGACATTATGTAAAACGAACATAACTTCTAAGCTAATGAGAAAAAAAAAAGACCTAAAAACTTTTTCGGTTCTTTTAATGTAATTTTGCTGCAGAAATTCAAAAGAACTATTATTTCAAAAACTGGTCTTTTTTTATACTATATTTTAAAATATTACTTGGTTCTTTTTTGCCATGATAAAAGCCAAAGAGTGACTTGTGGTTCTGGGGCCACAGGTTGCAGACCCCTGCCTTATGCACTAGGTTTGTGCACAACTGGCCAGTGTTTGGCATTATATCACAAAACAGAGAAGTTACCTGCTGTAATGAATATATTATCTGCATCAGAGGTGATGAAGACAGGAGGCCAAATGTTAGAAGCCCTCTGTAGTTCTCAGAGCTTACGGCAGCTTCTCTAGTCTTGAGAACATAAAGCTGTTTGGACTGAGCAGCTGCAGTTTGGATCTACATCAGAAATGTGGCACCGTGAGGAAAAGACTCATAAAAGTTGCATTAAAAGCGCCGTTTAAACAAGCAACACCTCCTAGGTAAACCTTACCTGAGTTGAAGCACTCAGACAGAGCTTGCTGGATGAGGAGAAATAGAGGATTGTTTTTTTCTGCAGAAAGTCCTTCAGAAGCGACCGAAACTCCGCGTCTGCAACTCTTTTCTCCCAAGTTTCCTGTTGCACTTGCAGTAGAAAACATACTTTCTCCGCGATGAACTTCACTCTAACGTCTTTGGTAAAAGATGAATCATTTATATCATCTTCGTCTGACATTTCGGAACTTCTCTTCTCCCCCTGACAATCTATGTAGACAAACAGCTCATTTGTCACACATCCAGCGGCAAATTCACACACCGAAATAATAAATAAAAAAAAATCTGCTACCGCACTGCATAAAGCTGGTCCTGTCGGGACGGTTTAGCATTGTGTCGCTAAGCAACGGTCGCCATCCCGAATCTCTGCACGTTTCTTCCTTTTCTAGCTTGTCGAAAAAAGAGAACACATTTGTCTATCAGTCCCAAACAACTCCTTGTATTGTAGCTATTGTAGACATTTCAAAACAGTTCGTCTGAGTTGTATTTAATAAAAAAATATTTATGATGCCATATTGTTCAATCAAGTGTGCAAAAAGGAAATCTGTTGTAAACCTAAATAAATTAATCAGAAATCAAAGATTCATTGAAAAAAATGTGCAAAGCTGCCAAATGCAGGATTAAAAGAATAGACAAACAGCCAGCACACTGTATTGAACTTTTTTATGGTGTCATATTACACAGGATGCAAAAGTCCCTAAACATAATTACAATTTGGGGTGATCGCCTACATGTCACTATTAGGGAACAGGATTAAGGCCACTGCAAAAAAAAAAAAAAAAAAGTTACCTGATTTTTAATTTTTATTTCAATTTGATATGTGAAAAAAGTCTGAAATCTGAGACTAAAGTCAGAAATCTGACTTTAAAAGTCAAAATTCTGAGAAAAAAGTCAGAATTCTGAGAAAAAGTCAGAATTCTGAGAAAATAAGTCAGAATTCTAAGATTAAAGTCAGAATTCGGACTTTAAAAGTCAAAATTCTGAGAAAAAAGTCAGAATTCAGAGAAAAAAGTCAGAATTCTGACTTTTTCCCTCATATTAAACGTAAGTAAGTTAAAAAAATCAGTTACATTTTTTTTTTTTTTTTCCAGTGGCCCTAATCCTCTTCCGTACACTATATCTGACATCCTATTTGAAAACGATTAACCAGTTTTCAACTGAACTTTTCTGAATTTTAAAGTGCTGGTAATGAACTGTGGTAAATAAAACTGACTTAAAATCTCTATACGGATTGGTTGAATTTATGCATCTACATAAGTGTGCAAATGTTTTCTTTTTTCTTCTTGCTTGTAAAGTGATTTGAGATCATATTTCTTTTTAGAATTAATGTTATAGTAACACATTTTAAAAAAAGGTAAACAGAAATTAATATTAATATAATTTTGTAAAATGATTTGATTTTCTTAACGTATTTTAATGTTAAACTCTTTTTTAAGAGCTTTTAACATTAAAACATAGATCTTGAGTCAATTAATCAAATTGAAAACCACTGCTAAAAAGTCCGTGTGATGAAAGACTGTGATGGCAGCATCATTATATGGGAATGCTTTTCTTCAGCAAAAGTATAGAAGCTGGTTAAAGTTTATGGGAAGATGGCTAGAGATGCAGGAAAAAAAATTGAAACTGATTCAGCTTAGGTTATTTTACAGTGTGCAAAAATTGCAGTTCCTTCGGACATAAACTACTGAACACAGTAAGGGGAAGATCATTAGAGTTGGAGGGTTTGTTAGCCGTAAAGTGTAACCTAACGTAATAACTTATGTGTACGTGTGTATGTGTGTGTGTGTGTATGTGTGTGACTGGTCTGTTGTCTTAGCAGCACTGGAGCATTCGAGGCATTTACCCTTTCTTTATGGGCAACTTTCGGCACATCCCTTTTCAGAGCAACTAACAAAATAAAAAGGCAGATTGTGGTATCTAGTGCTACTATTAAATCAAATCACTTTTGTGAATAAAGTAATATCAGTTTTTGGACACATTGTTCAAAATATTTACAAGGAGAAATTAAAGATACTGGCTTTTGCTTTGGAGCTGTTAACCAACTCGGAACAATATATGCACGGATGTTAATGGCTTCTGTTGTAACATATATACTCATTATGATCTAAATGGCATCACAGATATAACGTGTTGATAAAAATATATCCACTTCAATTAAAAAAATACATACAATAAGGAAGGAAAAAATATTTCAAAAAGAGAAAGTGAAGGAGCCTGTCTCACATGCAGAGGCATCTAATTCCCTAATGTGGTCACAATCACAAAAAGCAGATTATTCCTGAGCATCATTTCATGCAGTATGAGAGCTTAAAATAACTTTACTGGGAGAGAGCACTATATTTAAAAAGAAGACAGGTCAACATTTTGCTGTTTATTCTCTAGAAACATCCTCAAGAGTCTTAATCTGCAGTGGATAGAGGCGCTGTGGACAAATTATGGTTTTACACCTTTGTAAAGAATAATACTGGGGGGACATTTTTCTTTAGGAGAAAGCTACTAGGAGCTGATGGGGTAATGGTTGGAGCTAAAATATGACTAATTCTGGAAACACTCGAACAGATCATCAGTTTGCTTCATAGACTGCGTTTGCACCTTCTGCATTTTATGTACACACTACAAATGGCATTTATACATACCTAGTTTTCTTCTAAGGGTGTCTTGTTTTTTCTCTAAGTGTTTTTTATTTCTATATGTGTCTGTGTATTATATGTACCTTCTAAGAAAGGAGTCCGCAAAATGTTAAAGTTTCATAATGACAGAAAGATTCTTTATTGTTGATTCCTCTTTAAGAAACAGTTTCTGTTCACTAAAACTATACAAATTTTGTTAAACATAAGAATCTTTTGAAAGTTTCAATATAGTGTAAATTAAGATAATATATAGGTTATATAATACAATGTAGACAATGATTTCTGGTCCTGTGGAATGAGAGGGTTATGACATACATGGATAATGTTATTGAAAAGTTTTGAGAAAGCTGACCTAATTTACCCCTTAAAAAAGCTTTGAAAGATTTTAAATGATTCCGATTAAATAAACACTCCAACTTTAGTATGTTAGAATTAGAGACTTATTTAAGAAAGTACATTTTTGTGTCATTTCAGAAGAATGTTTCGTCAAACCTTTTCTGTTATCCATCCATCCTTTTTTTGTCTTTTCCTGTTACCGGTATATATAATTATTTTATCAGTAGCAGTCAATAAAAAAAAAACTGATTTAAAAATAGCATATCATGAGAAGAAAAAAAAAAAATAACCAGAAATCTTGACTTAATGAAAGGGTTTTTTTTATTCTGACAAAAAAGTCCTCTGTAGAAGCCAATATATACAGGGTCAATATCAGAAAGTAAATTATGTGTGTATGGACGTGTGTTTCACCGGAAAAGGCGAATCAGTTTTGATTGCTTGGCCAAGAAATGCTGTTAACTCACATCTACAGTAGCCGTTTGTATAATTTTTTAACTGCAAGAACAGCGTCTGGACATTTCCTGTTTACCATCTCACCCCAGCAAATGCACATCAACCATAAGATTTAAGCGTTGGCTTAGCCCCTACATCCTCATTAAAATATATTTTCTAATGAGACATGTAACAGCACAAAAAGTAGAATAAGGATCTTGCTTAATCATTAATATTAGGAGGACAAGTATAGAAGTAGGTGTAATTTATATCATCCAACTAAAAAGCAGATAAGATATATGATCTACAATAGCATTCAGAGAGTGCAGACCTGCGCCAAGCAGCAAATTGTGCCCCAAATTGTGGCTTACACCTATAGCTAAAACTTGCAAATGATCTGGATCATTACCAAATTTAAATGAATTGCTCTTTGGCATGAGGTGCACCTCTTTTAAAACATTTCCAGAAAATCTTTTAATAAGTTTTCAGTTGATCCTGCTAACAAACCTTGTTAATCTTGTTTGTCTGCAGTAAAATACGTCCAGACTTTTTGAGTCCATTGATGAGGTTGTCACTAATCACTGCTGCCACCCTCTGGTTTAATGAGGAACTGCTTGTTCCGTCATATATCCCTATCCAACAGTATTAGAGAACCTTTAAAAAACATCCCTTATCCAGATTATTATATGGATCTGCACAAAATGGATTGTCCCATGGACTAAGGTGCACCTCTGATAGGAATGTCATTAAAATCCATCCATAACTTTTCAAGTCAGACAGACAAAAAACAGGCTTTCCTAAAAATATACCTTATTTTACTGAGTGAATAAAAAAAAGGGATATGCCTTCTCATCCGCATGTGGCAACAGCTGTTTCAGGTAGTACACCCAAAAGTGGACACACAACTAGCAGATAATTAATCATGTACCATGTATGTTGTGGACCCCAGGAAGACTAGCTGTTTGCCATGGCAACAGCTAATGGGGATCCTTAATAAAATTACAAATGTACAATTTCTTTAGGGAATCAATAAAAATTAGTAATATTTTTAATTAAGTGTGTCTAGTCAGACTCATTTATTCTCCAATATGAAAAATTGTAGTACATGAGTATCCTTTTCTAAAGCAAACCCCCTTCTCTGGGTAGATTTCTTGTCCATACAATAGGATTTACATATAAATGTTACATTTGGAACTGCATTTGCATTGTTTTCTGGCAAATTCTATGCAAATGTGGATGTTAAAATATGACACCTGTTCTTTCTGCCATTTGATAATAAGAACTTCTTCACAAGAGGTTGCTAAGCTAGGTCCAGTCTCACTATAGTTGCTGCCATGAATAGCAATAATTAATCTGAAAATAACCCATTCATATCAGAAAAGGAAGGTAAAAGCACAAAAGGTTATTGTCTTTAATATCATTAAACTTGAAGATGGAAAAAACACAAAACAAAATAATTAGGCAGTAACAAAAATAAAGTTGTTGCACAGTTAATCTGTCTGTATAAGATGTGGTTGGGTTAAGGCAATCTTAATTGAAACCAACATTAATATACAACATTTGACTCAGAAGTACTAATAAATCTTGTCATTTCTAGATCATAAAAACCTACAAAGTCTTAATTCAAACATTAAACGAGCACTAATATTAACAGAATAGCTTTTATATACAGTATTAATAAAAAATTCAGCATGCTGATTCTTTAAGGAAAGGTCTTCATAACACTCATTATCAATACAATAGAGAGTCATTTTGGTTATAAACTTATGTTACAAACCTTTAGAAAAAACTGAAATAGTCATTAGTATTGTTATGTTTATAAAGTCCCTTTAGATCAAAATCCTGCAGAGATAACAATAAATAAATCAGTAGAAATAAGTGTACATATCAGAGCAAAATAAAACATTGTT